TACATTGGGCCAGAAAGATGGCTCGGACAAAGCCGTGTGGGCAGTTGGATTACGACATCGCCTGCTACAGTGGTTGGTTTTAACCAAAAAGTGGATAATTTTCCTTTAAAATTGATGACTAATTTCCAGAAATTTCTCAGAAAACAAAGACTTTTCATTTATGGAAGCTAAAAGATACAGAATTTGTATCTTGAACTTGTATCTTGTATCTTATAGCTCCTCCAGAGAAAGATATTCAATCTGTTCCACTGTGCCTGCTGACGGCAGGACATTGCCCAGAGGCAATCGACGACCCAGCAGGCTCCAAAAGGCCTCCCAATAGCGGGGCCAAGCAGGGAAACCATAAATCTCTGTGTGGGCAGGCGCCTTCTTCGCTCCGTTCTCAGAGGCCTCCTTCTCTTGGGAGGCGCTCTTAATTGGCCTCTCCAGCTGTTACGGGCGCCGGGGGAATGGCAACCGGGGACCCAAACTAGAGCATCCCATTGGCATTGCACTCGCACCCGTCGCCGGAGGAGGAGAAGGAGGAGGAGAGTCGAGTCGAGTCGGAGAATGTAGAATCGAGAGCCGTTTGCGCCTCTGCATTATTAATAGAATTGAAATCTCTATTTCAAGGCAAACGCCAAAACAACTGGGTGGGGGTAGGGGATGGGTGGTAGGTGATGGGGGTCTTGGCCAAGCAGAGTGGGGGTGGGGGGAGGGGAAGCAAAAGCTAAACAAAGGAACGAATGGCAATTACAACAACGACACCTTTTATGCGGCTGTCTGGGAGTGTGTGAGTGTGCGAGTGAATCAAAACTGCGCAGTAATTGGTGGCCCGCCCAACTGCCCGCCCCCTCCTATCGCCCACTCTCCCTATCTCAATCCCCCCAAAGCCCCCCGTGCGCCTCTTTATAAGCTATTCAAAAACATTTCCTCAAACATTTCATTTTATTTGTATTTTATTTGTGTATTTTAGCAGGCGACTCGCTGGGAATTCCAAGTTTTTGCAAGATAGTGGTTCTATATGTTGCGAATTATTATTATTTCAAACAATATTTTCGATAAAGCACTTTCTAATACTCTATTTCTATATGGTATATTCAAATATTCCTTTTCTCAAATATTTTAGATGATTTTTATATGCCTTTATGTTGGAAAATTTGTATATACAATGTATATTATACATACTTTATACTATATATACTTGAGTTCTTACTTAAAACTATGTAGTCTCATAGTTTTATGAGATAAAACTTTCAAAATATTCTTAAATTGATTCCAAAACCTTTCCCTCAAACTTTTGATTTGATTTTTATATCTTTTTATGCCAGAAAGTAGAGATCTCTCTAAGAAAAATGATATGTTTTTATAAAAACATGGATAGTGGTTCTATAAGTTGGAGAGTATTAAAAAGCCATTGTTTTCCAATGCATTTTTTTTAATATAACGCTGAAAAAACTTAATCATCGATTTAAAAAAACATTTTCTTAAATATTTTATTTGTTCTTCATATTATTTTTCCTAATTCTCAGTTCTCACTGAGAACTAGAAGTTTTTGAAAGAATATGTATTATATAATCTAGCTATAAACGGGAAAGTAAATGGTCTACAAGGCCTATTGTTGATATATTGCAGACTATATCAAATTTATCAATTCTTCAAAACAATATACATATTCAAAAACCCATTCCTCAAATGCCTTTTTTTATTTTTAAAGGTCTTTCTGAATTATTAGTTTATTAAGAATATGAATAGTGGTTTTATAAGTTAGAAAGTATCGTTTACAACACATATTTTAAACATAAAACCCTCACCAGATACTCAAAAATGTATTTCAAAGATCTTTCCTCTCGAAAGTATACGTTTTATAAACCATATTGTTTATAGAGCCTTTCCAAACTACTCAAAAATCTACGCAAAAAATGTTTATTATGTTTTAATGTGCCTTTATGCCTGAAACTGTAATTCTCACTAAAAACTAAACTATTATTCTATAATAAGGATATAATATATAATTTATTCTATAATTTGATCTATAATGATAGTAAGATCTATAATATACGTATATGTATCGAAAGTATATGTTTTATAAAAAATCTATGAAACTTATTTTAATTTGATTTTTATATGGAATTTATATATTTTATGTAGAAGAAACTAGACTTCTAACTGGCAAGACTTATAACTTTGGAAAAGAATATGCTTTATAAAGCCAAGAGTCGGAAGGTTTCCGTATTCCGAACCATCTGGGAGTGCCATGCCCCCGTCTACTCTGTTTTTGGGAGCTTATTTATATTTAATTGCTCTTAGGCTGTGCTGGCTGTTGGCTTTTGGTTTTCTTTTCTTTTTGGTTTATTCGTTTGTTGTTTTGGCCTTTTCGTGGCGCAGAGAAAGAAACACAGCTGACACCGCACGGTGAAAGTGGGCCCCTTCTCCCACCACCCACCTCCGATTCTCTGCCCCTTCCGGGGGACTGTCAAACGCAGGCATGTTTATGCTGTTTCATAATCGAAAATTTACATACCGAGTCACCGAGAAAGATAGAGAGCTGGGAGAAAGGTTGGGACGTGCTTTGAGCTCTTTTTTCTTTCGAGCCAGTTGGCCCAGTTCGAGTGCAACTGCAGCGCCGGCGAGGAGGCTGGTGGGGTGGGCGACAGAGGTGCGGGTCCACAGTTCACATGCCTGCTGACGCATATGTACTCGTATGTGCCTCTTGGTGCCTCAACCCAGATACGAAAAGCCCCCAAACACCACACTCTCCAGCGAATTTTTAAAAAACAAACTTTGAAAAACAACAGGAAATGGCACATTGTAAAAATTTTATCAATTTCTAGGAATTAAAAAAACAGTTTTATTTAAAAAGATTATAAGAATAAGAGTTCCTATAATATATATTAGTAATAACAGGTTTAAAACCCATTAGAAACTAAATATTTGGAGGTAATGAGCTGTCACCTTAGCCCCCATATGATACTTCTGGATTAGAATACTGAAACTGCCAAGAATTAGTGGCCTAAGAACCATATTACACTGCCCATGGCTGTAGAGAACCTGGGTACGCGTCGGGAATGATGATGACGAAGCCGCCTTGTCTGGGAAAGTGGCTCATCGTTCCATGGTACATGGTACATGCTCCCAATACTGGCTGCTTTCGCCTTATCTAATCAACAAGTTTCTTGACTTTTATGAGCCAAGCAAGCTTTGAACCCTGCTGCTTGCCAAGGGGGCCAAAGCCAAAGCCGCAACAGCAGCAGCAGCAGCCACTTTATACTGACTCACAACCACATCCAAGACCTTAAAGACCGAAAGAGCAGATGGCGGCAACTGCTGCTTGATTGAGGTGCAACAATTTGTCTGCAATTGGAGGCACTGCGGCAGTGGCAGCGACTGCCCGAAAATACACACAACCATGCCAGCCAAAGCTGTTGGACGGGTTTCCCCCCTCCACGGCAACTTCCTCCATTAACTGGCCGGCCGGTCTGCAGCGGATTCCATGCCTCACATGCGGGGGGAGGGAGGTCGGGACTGAACATGCACAGCAATTTCGTCTTGGACTCCAGAGTCCGGGAGGAGTGGGTTTCATTGGCATTCCCTGCACTCCGCCATTGCAGTCTGAAGTCGCATTTCAGTCGCAGGCAGCCAGGAAGTTCGTTGTCGCCTGGAGTCTCCCCTGCTCCTTCACCACCTCCTCCTCCGAGACAAAGCCCTGTAATAGCCTACATCGAGAGAAAGAAATGTCTTGGTCCTCAAGAAGTCGTTCCTCAATGGTTGGCAGGTCTGCGATGTTTCTCCCAGTGCCCTTGTCCTCTGTCCCCGGCATTTATGCGGCTTTTCATTTACATGCCAACCCCTGGCTCGGTTCCCTTGGCAGTTGGCAACAATGATTGAGGATACGACACGAAGGAATGGGAATGAGTCACCGCCCGAGCAGCTGGGGAGTGGGTTCTCTGCAGTTGGCCACTTGCAGCTAGGTTCTCCGATAGATGGAATCAAAGCTAGCCCGCATGCTGTCCAATTGACAGCACTGGAGTGCCCGAACTGGGCCGTGGGAGACTACTGGGTTCTGGACCTGAGCCAGGCGGAAGTTTAAGAGCAATCATGTAATGTGCTTGATCCGGAAATGCGTAAATCAAATCAAACAGAAGCGGAGGAGTCGGAGTATGACCCCGATTCCGTAACGACGCCAATTTGGCAAATTACTCGAAAGGGGTTGTCCTTGGCTTGGTGTGGGGGTGGCAGACAACTGGCAACTGCCACCTACCAACTACCAACACGAATAGAAAGCGCCACCGGCAGAGACAAAACAATTTTGTTTGTCCAAAAGTGGCAGCCGCAATTGAAAGTTTTTGTCTTTGATTTGCATTTCGAAAAGGAAAGGAAACCAAATTGTGCGAAATTGTTCGAAATTGTTCGAAATTGCTTTCGCTTTCACACAAAATAATGGGGATGGGGAGACGGGATCGGATCGAGCGGAAATTATCGGTCACTCCACTCGCCGGCCACTCGCCTTCGATCGAATATCGACGTCCGGACAAGTTCAAATGGTCGGGGTTGCGAACCAAAGATAAGGCAACGACTCCCTCCTCAAGATTGGTTCGGAGTGAGATATTTTTGTAAAAATTTAAATCTATTTATAAGCCATTAAGGAGCAATGACATGAATCGATACTATCGAAGTTGATAAGCCTGGGGATGATATCGAAAAAATATCAATATCGAAGGTATCGTTGTAATCAAATATCGATGTTTTTACACCTCTAAGGGATATAGCCATCACTATCAGGTGTACTGTTATAATTCCATTGTTGATAGAGCATGACTAATAGAGGGAACTACCTACCTACCAGTATTTCTCAATGAAATAGGTCTCTTGGTTGTCTTTGGAATATCTGAGGTAAGAAATACTGAACCTGACCGAAGGTAGGCCGAGACTGACTAGACCTCCTAGACCGTCTGTAATTCGCAGAAACTATGCATTCTTTAGGGATTAGGGTTTCGGGAAAATTCCATCGAACTACTTACAGAACTCCGGAGCAGCGGGTGCAGACAAAGGAGCCGATCGTCATGTTCACGTAGGTCGGTCCCTTCTGGCCGCAGTCGAAGCACTGCCGGTTACCCCCCGTCCCGCTGGTGACCAGCTCGCGCAGGGCGAGCAGGTACTTGTCGTCCTGCTTCTTTCGCGCCACCGCCATGCTAGTTTCTAGTCCTTCCTTGATCGCTGTTTCCTGCCTGGCGGCTTCCGGCTGGCTGGCTGGTATTGTTGTTGTTGTTGCTGGTGCTGGTCCTGCGATCGCGATCAGGGGCTTGACGGAGGGTCCGCTGCTACCTGCTCTCTCCTCCTCGGTCTCCGGCTCCTCCTCTTCCTCTTCGTCGGCTAGCTGTTCGGTATCCGAGGGCAGCAACTCCTGGGGCGGAGGATGAGGACGGGAGTGGGGGTGGGACGTCCGCTCGGCTGCGTAGGGCGCAAAGGGGGCGACGGCGGAGCGGTACGAGGAGGCAGCGTGGGGCGCGGAGCTGTTGTAAACGTAGACGAACTGAATGTTGATGGATTTTTGGGGTCGCGCTTCAAACGATCGGATCGGATGCTATCCGTAATTCAAACTGACGTAACTCTCTGCTAGTTTCTCTGGCCTGGCCTGGCCTGGCTCGTCTTTTTACGCAACTTTCGGCTTGACCTTTCCTCTCCTTGCCTGCCCTCCTTCTCCGCTTTCTGTCACACACGCACGCACACACCACTCACTACTCACAGCACAGCACAACAGCAACAAACAAGTGTGTGTGTTTGCGAGTGTGTTTACTTTGCTGGAATACGGCAACAAACAATTTTTCTCGAGAGCTTCTGTTATTGTTTACTTTTTCATGCCCCGTACACTTTGCATTTTAGCGAACGCGGACAGCAGCGAGCGGAGCAGATGCCTCTTATTTAGCTTTAATTCAATTTATTTGCACTATTCTCGGCTGCACTTGCTTATGCGGCTGCGGTCGCTATATTCTGATGCGGGTTGAGGAGGCTTCGACGCTGCGCCAGCACTCGTCACTAGGCTGCTGACCCTTCTGGTTTGTTTTTAACGGAAAACGAATCGAAACGAAAACAGCAACGCGAAACACGAAACGCGAAGAGCAGCCAACAGAAAACGCGAATCCGAAATTCCGACGCTCCAACTCAACGGCTCGAAAACTCAACTTGGTGTGACCAGGTGGTGCGAGCATACAATTCCAGGTCGCAGGCCAGATAGCGCCTCAAAATCCCACACGATACTTGCTAGGGATGAGATAGTTCAAAGTTTGGAGTTCAAACATTTTGAATATTTTTCTAAAGATTACTTTATTTTTAACTATGTAGCTTTCAATCGTCTACCCTTTGACGGCTATTTCCCTTTTTGATAAACTTTCTTTTGAAAGTGGCGGGGGCACTGGAGGCAGCCTCCTCGTCCAGACCCGATATGGTCTTCTCCTTGAAGCGCTTTACAGGTGGCTCGGCTTCGGAAGGAGCAGAAATCACTGGAGCAGTATTGTAGTAGTCTGTTTGGGGCAGCTGCCAGTCGATGGGGGCCTCAGGAGGTCTACAAAAAGAGATACATCTAAATAACGCGAACACGATATTCCCGATTGGGGATTCTTACTTGACTTCCACGGTCTGCCACTGACCGATCTCCTTGGTGGCCGCTTCCTCCTCGGTCTTGAATGTCTGTCGCTTCTCCTCCTTTTGCTTCTTCTCCTTGGGATTCTCTGGCTTACGGAAAGCTTTCATTCGCTCCCGATTTACCCGTGCCACTTCCTCGTCAGCGTTCTCGCGAAACCGCAGGGATTCCTGTTCCTGGGAGATTTGCTGCTGGTCCATGGCCAGCTGGTTGATCCGCTCATACTCCTCGTAGGAGAGAAATCCCTCTTTGGGTTTCTCCCACACAGATTCGTTTGTCTTGACGTTCCAGTAGTAGGTGTGGCCCTCATCTGATTTTCCTTCCACCCACAGGGACGCATCAGGTGCAGTGGCATCGGTCCCCACCTTTCCCACGGTAACTCTTCTGTTGTCCTCCTCCTCATCTGAGTCTCCTTCCAGCCGCATGGGATCTACCTGACGAGATCTGCCGGCGGAATGGGAACTCGCAGAGCTACTCGAGGCGCCGGCCGTGGCCCTCATCACAGTGCTTATGGAGCGGGCGGTCATGTCCCCGCGAGCGTGGACATCCTGAGCGTACGACTTCATGGCTGCCTCCTCCATTTTTCGGATCTCGGCATCCATCTTCTGGCGCTCCCTCTCGGATTTCTCGCTGCTGCGGCTGATGTCTGTGATCCTCTTGGCCACATTCATTTTGTGCCGTTTGCCACTTTCGTGGAAGGCGATGCTCTGAATTTATTCTTTGTTATAAACGATTTCTTATCATTGGGGGATCCACTTACCGCCTTGTTGTCGCTCAACCAGCATTTGCAAAAGTCGCAGAACTTGCGTTCATTGGATTTCCAGTACTCCGTCCTGGAAGGTTGATGAAATATTAGTTTAAAAAAGGAATGTTTTCAAATATAATACTTACATTTTGAATAATTGGTTGAATCTAAAAGAAACTAAAGAATTGTGTTTACAAATGTAATCAAAACAATCGCGTCGACTAGAGTTGTCACCTGTCTTTGATCAAAGACAGTGCTGCCAACTCTTTTTTCAAGCCAAAATAGGGTTTTTATTTTTTACGAACCAAATATTAAACAAATAAAATAAATTCAATTATTTAATAATTAATTATTGTGTAGTGTCTGTAATAAAGATCACATATTTTACGGAAAAGTACTCCTTCAATCTTTAAGATACTTTCAGCTAGTTTCCTCCACATTGGCAACTCTATCGTCAGCTGACAACATTCTCCGATAGGTAATCATAGGTCAGGTAAGCAAAAGTTGGCAAATTTTTGTTATTCGCTCTCCACCACTCGTCCGAAGCACTTAGGCCTGTCCGCTCCACAGAAACCAGCCGCAATCGCACCTCGGAACCGTAAACGCTACTCTCCGCACCCAGATTCGCATCTTAGCCATGGCCCAGGCACGCGTTGCGACAACTATAACCACGGCACTATCTGCGCCAATGACAAGTGAGTAAGCTGGTCCGGAGGAGGGCATGGTCGTTGGCCAGCAAATCTGCGCGCGTTTCGCACCCAGGTCCGAAGTCTCGGCTCGCTCTTCGTCTGTAGCACCTCGGCACGCCGCCGCGACGTCTCACCCGCCAGACGGCGATTTCACCAGACTTTGTTTCGTCACCTGCAGTCGCAATCGGTGATTTTGTTTCTCGCTTACGATGTCCGCTACTATTTCAGATGGCCAGGTGAATTTGGACATGGAGGCGAATCTGAAGCGGCTGGGCGAGAACAGCTGGGAGGAGTTCTCCATCGACGTTCCCTGGGGCACCGTAGAGGGTGAGTCACACGCCAGACATGGTCTTATCTCTCCGCAAGGCGGCATGCGATCAGACCATTCATGAATACCTGACGTGATTCCAATGTGACGCAGTTGATAATCGATTTTCCCTCGTTTCAGGAAAGTGGTGGGGTTCCCGCAACAGGCAGCCCATCATCGCGCTGCACGGCTGGCAAGACAATTGTGGGAGTTTCGACAGGCTGTGCCCGTTGCTTCCCGCCGATGTCTCCGTACTGGCGATTGATCTTCCGGGCCATGGAAAGTCATCCCACTATCCGCAGGGCATGCAGTACTTCATCTTCTGGGACGGAATCTGCCTGATCCGCAGGATAGTTCGTAAATACAACTGGAAGGACGTCACCCTGCTGGGTCACTCGCTTGGCGGAGCCCTGACCTTTATGTACGCGGCCAGTTTCCCGGACGAAGTCTACAAGCTAATAAACATCGACATCGCTGGCCCCACGGTTCGGGGAGTCAAAAGGATGGCGGAAGGAACGGGAAAGGCGCTGGATAAGTTCTTAGACTACGAGACGCTGCCGGAGAGCAAGCAGCCCTGTTACTCCTACGACGAGATGATTAAGCTCGTTTTGGACGCCTACGATGGCTCTGTGGACGAGGCTTCCGTTCGGGTTCTTATGAACCGCGGCATGCGGCACAACCCCAGCAGGGACGGTTACCTCTTCTCACGGGACCTGCGCCTCAAGATCAGTCTGCTGGGCATGTTCACTGCAGAACAGACGCTGGCCTACGCCAAGCAGATTCGCTGCAAGGTTCTTAACATCCGTGGCACTCCTGGAATGAAGTTCGAGACTCCTCAGGTCTACGCTGATGTGATTGCCACTTTGAAGGAACGCGCCTCCAAGGTGGTGTACGTGGAGGTGCCCGGCACCCATCACCTGCATCTGGTCACCCCCGAAAGAGTGGCCCCGCACATCAACCAGTTCCTGCTGGATCATTAAGTAGAACATTTAAGTAGGAGGCTAGATAGAGATACTGTATGTAGATAGCTTTTATATATGTATATGGACGGATGTATTCACCGTGTGCAACGGTGTGCAGTGATCAAAGGTATATGCCCGATTTGCGCGGATCTAAATGTTATGGTAAATGTGCCCTTCGCATTCAATAAACACAAATAACTTAAGCGATGAGCAAAGTGTTTTTGTTTTCTGTCAGTAAACTCGTTTTTTTTTTTGATGGCTTATTGTAAAAGTTATCTGAATCTCCAGGTTGGACTTTGGTCGGGACGGGAACAAATCACTTTTTTTGACAAACCCAACAGTTGTTGAAAGTCATCATTATAATTGCAAAATGAAAGCAAACATTTGTTTGTATATTTATTATTACTTGTTATCACCAGACTTGAATTGGCCAATACTATAGGGTTTGAAGCCTCTATTCGCTAAATTGCTAATCTTATTCCCAGAATAATTATAAAAGCCCTTGAAATCGTAAAAAAAAATATCAAAAAAGTCCCTCGGAAAGTCCTTATCACTTGCACTCCCCTAGATATAATACCGGAAAGGTTTACCCACAAGATATCATTTTAATAAATCTAAGATGTCTAGAATACTAGGGTCGCACTGCGTAGGTTCGACTGTCCGAGAGCGGATATTAACTTATAGGCAAGTATTATCTGAGTATCTGATTCAATTTAATAAAGTAAATTAGAAGCTTGGTAAGGGTAGTGTAATATGTATTACGGCAGGTTCATTTAAACCGTGGCAGAGCAAGGCTTTCAGATTCTTTTTTAAATAAATAATAAGCTATTAACTTATTTTGGTTACTTTTACGAGGTTTTTAAATATTTTTACTTTCTTTATGCAAAAAAAACATTCTTAGAGTTTTTATTTTATCCAGTAATGTTTAACCATTTCTCGCTAACTTGGCTAAAACACAATATGTTTAGACACGCTTTGCATACTTTTGGGCTATATTACAATCTTTCAAGGTTATAGAAAAGACATGGGAGCTCAAGGGTTAAATATGATCGTTTTTCAACACTCTGGCAACTCTGGCTATTGTTCAAATTTCGCTTTCAGTCTGGTAACATTTTGAGCCCCCAACAAAATACCGTTGCCCGGCAACTCATTTGTGTGTGTTTACTATTTTATTTACAATTCCTGTGGCAAGGACGCACAATGGATCTGATCAAGGAGATAAACGACAAATACTTGGCCCTCGAGGCCGAAATCGACCAAAAGCTGGAGAAGGTGTATGTATTTATAAATTAATAAAAGTTTCAATAAATTAAAAACGCGATAAATAAATCTATAGACAAGCTGAGGAACTAAAGTTGGAACTCCAAACCGAAAGACTAGCGGAAACATCCCTCCATCCACCTGCTCCCAAAGTTTTATCCTACGAAGAGGCTCTGTTGAGGAACAGCAATACCTTAAAAGTAGGTTAGAAATCCTCTACCAAAACATTTAATTAAACACTTCCTTTTAGGCCTTAGATATAGCCAAGGCCCGGCTGAGATCCCGCTCCACCTACTCCCCGGTAGAGAAACTCCTTCAACAGGCCCTAGAAAACTACAGAAAGGAGCTTGAGGGTCTCCAGGAGGAGAAGGACGAGCCCAACAACGAGGAGGACGAGGAGGATGGCAACCTGTACGACTTGGTCATGCAGAATGTAATCGAGGCCAAAAAGCAGCAGCAGCCGCAGACCTCAGATCTATAGGTTATTTCTTTGGAACTCCCCTGCCAGGCATGGCTAACTGATATAGATGACATATATAACCCGTATTGTGTGTCTCGGTTACCAAGCTGAATAAACACAGTCCAAATGTACACACGCACACATGACCGGGCTGGAAATTGAGTTGAGAACTGAGAACGGGAATGCCGAAGAAAAATGGGGTGTACGTTCGCTTTTTCTGTTCCCACTCCAAACACCGATCGGACCAGAGCAAACAGTGGGTGGGGTGAAGGGTCCTTGGCACCACCACAATGTTGCCCTGTCCAATCACTCAAATGCTCGAACGATGTTGATGTTCACCTTCTCCGTTATCACACGACGGAGTATCTCCCAAGGAGAGGAGGTGTCTGCCATCCGCGTAACATCAGAGCAAACACATTTACCTAATTAGTCGGCCATATAACATTGCCTGGACATCCCCAAATCGTCTCTAAGAAGTCGGGGCAACCAACTCTGGTAATAAATCAATTAACGACACTCCGGATCGTGCGAAACATCAAAGAGAATGATGACTCTTCTCGCCTTGTTCGCTGCCCGTTGATAAGGTGCTCGAAGCCGGCGGGAGACAATGCCGAATGTGGCAGGTGTGGGGGGGTTGACACTTGAGGGACAGGCCACACTCTGGGGCACGAGGGCAGTGACAGCCAGGTCTTATCTTTATGGAACCTCTGTGAGGAACCCAAACCATAATTACTCGCACAACTAGGGAAGTAATAAAGGTTTTCATATTCATTGAATGGCATATTGTAGCCTGAATAGAGCTACTACTGGGGTAACCCCGTGTGTTGGGTTGCACCCACTCCGGCAGCCACTTTTCCTGATAATGACAGCCACGACAGAATCTATTGAGACAAATTGTATGGCCACATTTCCACTACCATTTCCATTACATTTTCTTTTCGGTCTGTGGCTACGTCGACAGTCGTGTTTAATGGCCAATACAAACACGCCAGGCACACACACACACACCCACACACACAGAGACACACTCACCGCCGAGAGTCAGGTGCTCGGGTCTGCTATCTGAAAAATATTAGCCACTTTTGCTCCACATTTATGCGTTCAATATTTCATATTGTTTTCGGGTTCGGCTCTCCCTGTCACACAGCCATATACTACCATGGAGTCTATGGAGCCGGAGGGCCGAGAGAGTGCGAGAGGGTCTTCCTCCTTCGCACCTGAGCAGGTGAGATATGGACGGCGATCGTCGACTTCGTGGGCCCTGCCATCGAGAGCTGACGTTTTAAACTTCCCCGTCAAATCCGACGATTCAGTTACGTTCCGAGACGCGACAAGTGCATATAGTAGTGCCTCCCAAGAGCCCACTCTCGAGCTCCCACTCACATTATCCCTCCGATCAGTGCCTACGTGTAACCAAAGTTGGTGGAGCTCCCAAAGACACCCCACGGAAACGAGGGGCAGCGAATTACTTGGGCCAAGGGAATGCAAACTGTGATCGCAATGCTAGAAGTTTGTTCGTTTGGCTTAAGTTATTTTCATGTCCGTTGCAAACGCCACGTGGTGGAGATCGCCCCAGACCCAAGCCGATATCCTCGAGGAAGTGTTCCAGCCATGACATAAAGTGGAACCAATCCAATTACTTGGGCACGTCATCAGCCAGAGTAGGTGAGGATCGGCGACAAATCTGAACACCTGAATCGGGGAAACACAAACACACTCGATAAAGTTGATCAGAAATGGCTCTGTCTGCGGAGCGAATGGGGATCGGATCGGCCTGATAAACCAAAACTGACTCTCCTCTCGCCCCAAAAAGACGCCACCTGAGGTAGTGAACCAGGTACCCAGCAATCATGCCGGCTGATTACCGATCGCTGCCATATTCGGCTTCCGTTTGGCATTCGCTCGGCGGTTCTGGGTTCGGACCCGTGTTCGGAGTCGGAGTCGGAATCGGGAATCGAGAAACGGGAGGCCGTAAAGCCATTATCATTATATTGCTTGTACGATTTGCGGATCCGACGTCGCCAGTCCCCCGACCGTAAAATCTGATTTCTGTAGACGTGTCGTCGTTCGCCACAAACGGATTCGATATGGTTGGGGAAAATGACTTGGGAACGAGATAAGACCCCGGCGAGAAAATAGAAGAGAATCACCAACTTACAGGTGGGGTGGGACCTAGCTGGTGGGGCAGGGGGAGCTGGCGATACAGGTGGTGGTGGTGGTGGTGGAGAAGGAGAGGGGACAACGTGGCAGCCACCTCCTTCCAGTCGAAACCGAAACTGATAATTGTGCAACGTACACAAACCTTGCTCGCATTGCTCCACTTGCTTTCGGTTATCAGTTGGAGTGACAAGCGGAAATTAAAGTTGAAATCGACACGATTACTTCATTAGTTCTGTTTGGAAATGGTCTGTTTGGCGGGAGCGACCTCCTCGATCGGCTGGCTCGAGGACTAGAGGTCAGGTAGTATGCCCCAGGTGGCAGGAGTTGACAAGGTCACCCTTCAGTATGTTTGCATTCGGCTGTCGGAGCCGATTGATGGATTGGATTGTCAGTGGCCATAACTAACCAATTAGCGAGTTGCCATTCGTAGCAGGCAAAGCCAGGCACCTCCTAAGAGGGGGAAGGACGCTTCTGGAGTTGCTGGGCTCCAAGGTGAAACGCAATCCAAAATAGGCGAGCTGCGTCAAGTCGAATTAAGCCGAAGACTTGGACCCAATTGGATCAGGTGCAAGCGACACGGACAGTGACTGCCGGCTATGAGAGACAATCGGAGGCCACGTAGTCATGGTGCCTTCGCCAGGTGAGCTTGATAGCGTCTAGGAGGAAGTAGAAGGACTCTTAGTCCTCCGGCCGATAAAGTAAATCTACCAACTAATATTAGATAGTGGCTTGCTTTCGCCCAGATCCCTGGCAGCACTGTGGCAGGACGAGAAGAACCCTGAGGAGATGTCATTGGTTTGGACATGAACGTAGGCGAAAGGTGTAGACGGAGACAGAACTTCAGCGAATATGCAAAGGTACGTCAAAAGAAATGAATTACCCGAACTGGAGCCGCTGGGGGATGGGCAGAGGCTTGTGGAAAAGTGCTCCAGGACGGGGCGGAGGCCCAAGTCGCACTTTACTGCAAATGCAAAAACTTTAGACAGGGAATCAATTGTTGTTGCCTTGTTTTATTTCGCCCAAGACACGCAACAACAATGGAGCAATCCAGCCAAGGGAGGCTAAGATGGAGGGCACTGAGAGAAAGGATCTAGAACCAAAAGGATTATCCTTTTTAAATGGCTTATATCTTTACTAATGAGGGACTAAACTGAGGGACTAACCGAAGACTAAAATCAACCAATATTTAAAAACTATTTTATATTTTCCCTCAGTGTAGCCAGTAACTAGCAACAAATGGGCAGTCGGCAGTTGGGGGCGTGACAGCAACCGTGAAAAGAACTCGAGGATGACAGTTATGGGTTACAAAGGCAAGGATTGAATCAAATAAATAAACGCGCAAGGTTCTCCTCGTCATGGCGCGAGGTTCAGTGGGTCGGATTGGGGCGGTTGTGCCAGGGATTTATATGGGATTCGATTGAACGGGTTGTGTGGGAGGGGATCTGAATGGGGGTAACCTTACCACGTCCACGTCCATGTCAAGTTTGCATGCGGCTGCAGGTAATTCCTCATTTCACCCGCTTTACATAATCACAACAAATGAAAGCGAGGAAAGCGACGGATGGCGAATCTATTAGCATAAGGGCGCATAAAACGGCGCCGCCGGAGTCGGACTGGGCGGACTTGGATACGGATTCGGAATCCTCCAGTCAGTTGCAGTGAAGCCGCGAGTCGCGATGAACGTGTGGAAAGCAAAGGTGCTCACGGAGGTCCCCTTCGGTCATGTTTTAATCGTCAGCGGACGCGTCAAGCCGCATCCCAATAAGTAGGCAATAGATTTTGGTCTTTGGAACTTGGTACTTGAGGATTTCAAAAATAAAACATTAACAAGCTCTTAACAAAGATTAAAAATATTTTTAAAATGTTTTTAACTTGAATATTTCATCCACATATATTAGATATATCTGAGAATTCGAAAGTGGTAGATATTCAAAGTTTTTACAATAAACTTTGAGAGAAACCTCGTCCAGCACCTCAAGTACCTGGTACCCTTATAGTCGGACATTCCGACTTCTTGAGAGACTTTCTTATCTCTGTATCATCACCCAAACCCTCGTGTAGAATCTCCCTCGACCTCACAGACAATGTGAACGCGCACAATGAAAGTGAAACCGTGTTCCTCAAGATCGAGGCCAACTTCCGCGAGGGCCAGATCATCCGCAGCATGTTCCAGCCGGGCGAGGGCTGGCAGCAGGAGGAGATCTCCAAGAACTGGAAGAGCGACGGGCCCAAGAATCCTCTGCAGCCGGGCCAGAGCTTCACCTTCCGGGTGGCCGTTCTGCAGCGCTGCTTCGAGATCTATGTGAACGACCAGTTGTACGGGTCCTTTGAGTTCGTCAAGTTTCCCAAGCAGATCAACTATGTGCGGGCCTACGGGGACTTTGAGAAGATAACCCAGTTCCACCACCGCATGCTCTTCCCTTTGGTCTTCCCCCGGACGCTCATGTGCCCGGACAAGGTGGCCTTCCAGAGCGACGTACCGAGGCGGTACGAAACAGGCACCGTGGTGGCCATGGAGTGCATTGCCAAGGGTCCGCCCACCTCGGAGTTCTCCATATGCTTCCAATGCAACGACACTGGCAGAACCGTGCTTCGGTTCCACGTCAACTTTGACCGGACCACGGTCTCCAGGAGCTATCAGAGGGATGACAACAGGTACTACTGAGAGGTCTTGGTATTATCCGATTTTAAAAACTCTGTCCTTTCAGTTTCGCCCCCGATGACGAGGAGACCGAGGGCGAGTTTCCGTTCGTTCGGGGCAAGCTCTTCAAGATAGCCTTCGGACTCGGAGACCGTGCCTTCTTGATTGCCGTGAACGGGCAGTACTTCACCTACTACAACTTCCCAGGACGACCGTTCTCCATTTCCACGTTGAAGTGCTTCAGCAACGATGTTGGGGATTTTGCAGTTCGCAGCCTGGAGTACCACTCGGACTCCCCGCTCTTGGCCCGCGTGGAGAAGCTCTCGATTATCTGAGGGGATTGATTTTCCGGATCGGATCATCCATGTTTATAGTAGAACGCGCTTTGTTGAATCGTTGGCTTTGATCACCCTAATCCAGCACCAGTTAACTTCTTCTTGTGAGCATCCCAATAAAGAAAATCAGCTCTTCCCTTCTCCGTGAACTAAACCTAGAACTATCATTGATACGAAGCTCGCCATGGATCCTTTGGATATACTTTTATTAAAACAATTTATTGCCTTCGTCTCCCCATCTTGGTTCTAGTCGTCATCAGCATGCTACGATCTCCGGTGCGGAGCTCAACTTAGGTTAGTCTTATGGTTAATTTTAGCTTGGACTCCTGCTAGCGAGTGCAATGTATCGGATCCCATTCAATCGAATCGGGACAGGGACGGTCTTTCTCTAATGCTAGATTCTCACTACGGAATACATGCGTATATGTATGTATGCGAATATGTGTATGGTAATCGTATATCAATCCTAGAAGTAGCGGAACTCGCCCTTCTTGCCCAGGTGCTTGCTGCGCATCATGTCGGTGGGGTCCGGGGAGCGCTGCTCAAGGCCGGAGTTTTCCTAATTCAATATGCCAATGTTAGTTGGGTCAGAAATGGAGAAGGAGGAGGAGGAGAACTACATACCCCTGGACGTGACTTCTTGGTCGAACCCAGACCAGGCTGGGGCTGCTGTTGCCCGTAGAACTGGGCTCCGTCACCGTCGCCGTAGTTGAAGGGCGTCACAATCGTGTGAGGCACGTGGGCCACCTGTCCCCGCATATTCCGCGCCTTCCACCACTTGCGGGTGTCATCAAGGATCTGAAAATTCCATCATATCTTAGTATAAAACTTTACAATCATAGATGAGGTCTCCTCACCTCCAAGTATTCGCCTCGCATCACACTCAGTTCCTTGTCGTTGTTGGCTGTTCGCGGATAAGTTACCAGCACTACCTTGGCGCCCGACGCCTGCAGATCCTCCAGCCAGGACTCGAGCATCTGGTCATCGCTGATATTCGCCGCTCCTCTGCCAGCGCCACCCAACTCCGAGGATGGCCCTCCAGCGCCGGCTCCTCCGTATCCGTTCCCCTCCCTGGAATCGCGGGTGTGCAGATTCTGCAGACCGGCTGTGATGGCGCTGAGGGTGGGTCCTGCTCCAGGCCCGTGCCCGTGTCCATGGCCTGTGGCTCCTCCTCTCCCCTCAATCGAGTCAAAGGATAACTCGCTGCGGGTGTTAAAGTCAGAGGCACTAATGGCTCCTGCCCGCTCCCGTTCCCGCTCCCTATCCCTCTCGCGATCGCGATCACGATCCCTCATTCCGTCGTTTCCGTGGTGGATAGTGTACTTCTCGATACCCATGGCCATTCCATGATTGATGCCGTTTCCCGTATCGTATTCATCGTAGCCACCACCTCCACGCCCGTTTAGCCCGGAGCCAGCTTGGACCTCCAGCCGGCGCTTGCTGACATGAGCTGGGGGAGAATTTGGTGGGGGTTCTAGCTCGTCGTTGATCATGTAATCCGGCGACCAGCCGTCGAGGAACACCGGGTGGTAGGATCCCACGTCATCCTTCCACTGGTCTCGGGGGATCACCCAAGCGTCGCCAAGAGAGCGCCACAGCTCCGTCTCCTTGCTAGTGACGCAGTTAATGAGCAGGTTGATGGCCTCCCGGGTAAGCAGAGGATTCACCACTCGCGCCGGAAGCTGCGACTCGTAGTAGGTGTCGCTGGAGGCCTCCACAATCAGAGCCAGAGGCGTGAAAAGAAAATGCACCAGTTCCGGGGCGTTCGGATCATGGATGTGTGCCTTGAGCTTGGCCAGCAGGTTGAAGGACAGCTTGAACTTGGCGAAAATGTCCACGAACTCCTTCTCGTGGGGCGGACGCGTCCGTAGCGTGAGTAATCCCTCTCCGGGATCCCGTTTCTTTGACTTTCGGTTGCGCCGACGCCGCTCCAGCTCCCTGGAAGCTGCGGCCGCATGTTGGAGTCGGGCTATAAACTTCTCGATGTCATCAAAGCAGTGGTTCAGCACAGCCACGTCCCGCTCGTACTTCTCGCTGGAGGTGGAGCTCGTCTCGTCCCTCTCCGCACCTCCGCCCCCGATCCCGCCATGCTCCGAGTCTGTTTCTCCGGCCATGTGGGCCACATCGTCTGGGGAAACTCCGATCCCGGCTCGCACGCCATACTGCTCCACACTGGTCCGCTGGTGCATGTGGTGGTGGCTCTCCCGCTCTCGGTCCCTTTCCCGATCTCGCTCGCGCTCTCCACGCTGCTCCCTGTGCTGGTGCAGCTCCACCCTGCTGTGCGACGACGACGATGACGTCTTGCTCATCATCATGGCCATGCTGGAGGCTCCACCGCCGGATTGTGTGGGCGTGGCGCCGCGCTGTTGGGTGATCATCTTGCCGCTGCGGAGCTGTTTCAGGTCCTCGACCAAATGAACGGCGGACACACTTTGTGACTATAAAGATAATGGTTTTTGGAAGGATGAGGCTTAGCATGAAATTAGCTTCTGGGAGAGATTCCCTTACCTGGAATATATGCATCTCGGAGCGAGAACCTCCTCCTCCGGATACAATAAAGACGAGAATGTTGTTGTACAGCTCCATGGCGTCGTTGGAGGTAAAGGCTGTGGGTTCTTGGACGAGAGATGCCGGGAAGCGTTCAATTATGTTCTGAAAGTTGGAAACACAAGTCAGTTAGCAAGGAGAACTGGCAGATTGCATCTCAGGCTATTACCCCTGTCTCGTAGTCCATGATTAGAACCCACTGGTAGTCCAGACAGAGCTGCATCTTCTGAGACCAGATCCCCGTGGTCTTCTCCAGCTGCAGGAGTCGTCGCATGCCATCAGCCGGGTACACAATGCCAGACTCCTTGTTCACCGTGAAAGTGGCCAGGTGCTCGAGGAGATAGGTGGGCTTGTCGTGGAGGTCACCGTCCAGTCTCTCCCGCTCTTCGCCGCCGCCACTGCGATCATCCCCAGAGTAGTCTCCTCCGCCACCGTGGGCTCCGCCGCCTCTGAGGCTTCCGCTACTGTTCCCGGCACTCCCGCCTCCATTCGAGTGATGATTCACCATGGTCTCTGAGGATCTGAAGATCCTAGTCCTGTCGCAGGCTTCAGATGGCCTTCAAATGGAAATAATTTGTAAAAATATTATGCTAATTATGTTGTTCGGTTATGATTTCACGGCTAAGCTACAAGGTACGGCTAAGATACTTGTTTGGGAGATTCACTTTTGAGAAATAGACACGTTTAACCAGAACAAGGTATGCTAAAATTTCTGGCCAAGATTTCTAATGGTGTGTTTGCGTGTGTGTGTGTGTGTGGAGGTAGCATTGTCACGCCTCTGGGTGTGTGTCTTCCATTAAAGTCTGCAAGCCAAATTGGGTTTCTCGTGAGTAGTTGGCGATCTCTCGAATACCGGATATTGGGGATAATGAATCTGACAGAATGTATGTTAAATCGCTATTTTGTACTTGGCCAGTGCAGCTGAGATTGAGGCTCCCCCCGGCTCCTTGCAGATATTGCGCAGCCAATCGACTCTAGCTCTGACTCAGGCCGCATTCCACGCTTCCACATCCACTTCCACTAGCGTTAGCGTTAAAAAAACACACACAGGTATGGCCAAAACGATTTACACATGGCCGCAATTATTCTCAAACTTTAACATTTCGTTGTTGGCTTGGATCAGCATTGGAATTCAAAAATCGCGCCAGTCGCCACCCCCCCTCCCTCTCTAGTCTGTCCACCTGCCCCCCCTCCCCATCCCTGTCCCACTCTCCTGAACACACCTGCAAAAAGCATACATACACTTGAGCTGCGATTTGCAAACACTAGCTTGGTATCTCTCTCTATCTCCCCTACTCACTAATACTTGCGAGACACTAGCTCAGCCGCTCCCTCGACTCAAGTGACAGCTTAGGCTGGGCTCAGGCGCTGACGTTGGCCGAGGCAGCGGCGGCGACGTCGCATACCAACCTAGCCTGCCGAGGGGGGGCAGGCAGTGGGGTGTCTGCGTTCCTATTCTGATATTGAATTTCCATAACATCCACTGTGATTATCATAAACAAAACACTACAAGATACAGTATCTTCATGAGGTTTTAATTATTTTTTTGTTGTTAGACTACTGCTATAGAGCCCACTGTAGAAAGAGAAATTGGGCGAGGGGGTCATCCGAGTGCATTATCGGACAAACGATCTTGTTTAACCAACAAAACAAAAGTGCAAATAAAACAGAAAAGAAACCACTGACCCACTACACCCCTGGGTTTCATTTTTATTATGGAGGTCTGTGTGGCGGGCATGTTGCATCATGAATGAGGAATTCGAGAGACTGATGCTTAGCCAGCTCCTCCAGCAGCCCCCAGAGAGGAATTCCATTATCGCAGAGGGCCGACTTGGAAAGCGTAGCGCACTTGCCGAAATCACGGAGCTTAGTCAAATGGGGAGGGAGATAATTAATTAAGGCCTGATAAGCAACGATAAAGACCACAACATGGTGGATCCATTTGTCTTCCGTTTGAGATGGGAATTAATTTTTCAAATGTTTTAGGCGACGGCCATAAATAGGCGGCAGGACAGGACAAATTTTAGATAGTGCGGATCACTTGTTTTTTTATCTCTCGAATACCTTTGGGTTTACGAGGCAAACGACAAACAACAAACAACAAATGCTTTTGTTGCTTTTGTTCTCGGGTGGGAAACCAGCTTACGAAGGGGATACGGCAGGTCGGTGAGAGTGACACTCCAGCAACAGAGCAACAGGCGATGTGTCACTAGTGCCGTCCCTTTTGCGCACAGGTAACCGGGCTGGGGGGCTCTACCTGTTCGGTTGTGAGTGTGAGTGCGGCTTGAAAAGGTAACTCGGATATTTGTCTCCGGGTCTCTCTGTTTCTACTCTCCTCCCCCCTTCTACCCCTCCCTGGTTCCGCCCCCTCAGCCGTCGCACCGTCTGCTGCAGCAACTTTACTTTTTGACCGACCGCATTTTTTAAGCTTTCTTTTCCACCTGTTTTCCTCTCTGGCGCTGTTGATATTTTTACGAGACACACACACAGTCATACATGTGAGACACACAGATACGTCTGTCCAAGCCGTGAACACACAGGTAGAGTTCCCAAGTATGCGTGCGTGGATATACAAACTGGGAGCGGCGGCAGGTTTCGTATTGATTTTCAATGCTTTTGTCCAATTCATTCACCAATTCATCACACATACAAACACTAATTCCGCACTGGCCGTGTATATTATTCTAATTGACCGCATTTTCCCGCTGATATGACGATATTTACCGTGATATGTACCTTTATGTAAACGCACACACACACACACACACTCACACGCACTATAGATATCTCGTTAGCATTTGGATATGATCCTCTCACTTTGCACATTCTTTTTCTAATTAGCACGAGCCCGAATCTGTCTGACACGTTCTTCTGACTGGTTTTTTTTTTATTTTGGAATTTCAGTTTTTACGATTTGAATTTTTTTTTGGGGCCTGCGATCACTGGAGCATTGTTTTAGCTTTTAATTCAAACATTAAAAGTAACTGTAGTTGGGCCCAACTATGTAAGCTGCTTCTTCGTATTCCTTTACCTGTCTTCGACTCGTTCTCTCCTTTTCTGGCCACCGCTCTTTGTATTTTTAAGTCGGCTTTCTTTTGCCTCGTTCTTTTCTTTTTCAATTCTCAGCCGCTGCTCACCTCTCCAACTGTTTTTCTAAACGAACAAATAACAATAACCCCCGTTTTTTCTGTTCCTCAGGTGTTGTCGTCAACGCACGCGAGCGTTGTCCGCTAAAACCGCGCAGTTTTCCCGTCCGAAGTTTTTTTTTCGACAGAAAAAATGTTTGAGTTGTTGATGCTTTTAAACGACATTTGAGCCCTCTGTCGACGTTGCGCTCTCAGTTCCGTCTCTCCAGAAGCCAGGTGAGCCAGGTGAGTCTGCCCGCTCACGGTGGCAGAGTTGCCACTTTGGATATTTTAAAATACAATTTTTTATTTTACAGTTAAATATTCTCATTCAATCTTCTAACAATTTTTACAAATATTTTAAATTTTATTTAACAGATTATTTTATTTTTAACTATTGCAGTCTGGCAACACTACACTGTTAACTTACAGCGCTTGTTTAGGTCCACCCTGAAATGGTTTGATCCATCTCCCGCCAATGTTTAAAATATAAAAACTTAATTCAACCCTTGGAACTAAATCGAAATGAACTTCTATCATATCGTATCTACAAGAATGATTAGAGAATTCTACACCATTGTTTTTAGATACAATATTTTTTTAGTTTTAAATTTCCGCTTCCAAAGCGCAAAGCTTAAAGTACGATAAATACATTTAAAGACAGTGACACTCGAAAAGATTCCAATAATAAGTTTTTTAAAGATAAGATACAGAAATTTCATCAGATAACATTAAGAACCTTTGAAAATTACTTATTGAATATCAAATACTGAGAATTCCTATTATTTTACCTTTTTGAAGCCATATTGATTCTAACACAACATATTTCCTGGGAAAACTTTATTGATTATCGTAATATCTGAGTAATAAAATCATAGTTTGTTACAAAAATAAAGATCTAATTGAATACAATAATACGGTAAATTTGCAAAGATCAACAAGGGTAATTGGCGAAAAACGTGACTTTAAATGTGTCGTACAGGTAGTTGAATTTGTTGGCCGGGTAATCCTAATTGAGTACTCCGTCGGCCCGGACATTCAAGGCGTCCAACAGGGATCCCATGGGCGTGGATGGGGCGAAGCTTTCGATTGTGTTGGCCAGTTTGTTCTTCATGTTTCGGAGCCGCAGAGAAGCATGGATGAAAGTCACCGAGATGGGCAGCAGAAGGGTGAAGGCGGTCAGCAGCACAGCGCTGATCAGGTGCAGGAAGAGATATCCTCCGAGAAGGGCACCAGCCAGGATGTACCACTTCTGCTGAGCGTTCTGCTCCGCGGCGTTTGCATTTCCGCCGGTCAAACGGCTAGCGATGAAGTTCGACTTGGACTTTCCACTGAAAAACTGCCAGATCACAGCGATGATCAAAGCCTGGACGATCAGGCCACTGATGATCTTGGCCGGATTGCAGACAACCATCAGGACGTAGATGGTCAGGAAGAGCAGAAAGTAGTTGGTTTGGTAGTAGAGCAAGTTCTTCACCACTCGGTTGCCCCACTTGTCGAAGTCCTTGAGATTGGGCAGCTGGAAGCGTGCCGATCCCAGGATGAAGTCATCCAGGGTGCGCAGAGGGGGCAACTGAAGATTGCCAGAAAGGGCGGCCGCAGCATCGCCCACAGATGAAGTCGAGGGTGCCGACATGGTCTTTGAATTTCTCTTCAATTTCCTTTGATCTTTATCCTCCTGGAACAGCTTCTGGTAAATTGGCTGACGTAGTCCGCGTGCTATGTCCCGGACCTCCTCCACGTTCAGTAGATTAGAAGTCAGTTGCCGAATCTTCGGCCCCAAGCCAGAATTTCTCGAATTGCGACTCTTCTTGGGTAGCAAGAGGGTCCTCTCGTCAGTGGTTATCCAGTCGTAGGAGTCCTCGTTATCACTACACTCTTCCGAACCTATAAATTCCAGCGTAAACTCGGATTTTCACACGACTAGTCGTCTGTGTGGTTGTTAGTCAGCAAATGACTATGGGAATTTGGAGATGGGTGTGTGATTCACGAAAATGTTTGCCACAAAAAAATGTTCTGTTGGAAAAAATACATAAACAAAAGCATTAATTTAAAGGTTTTAAAATTTATTTTCCTAATATGATTTTTTTTTGTAATATTTACTGGATAAAAGCATAGGAAAATAACCCTTTTTAATGCGTCGTGCAAACTTATGGCTATCGATAACAAATCGCTTGGGCGTTGCCAGACTTGCTCGTTTAAGCTTATACCCTTTACTCGTAAAGCTCACGGGTATATACATCAGACATCTTAAATGAAATATGGAAACAATTAATGAATACCAATGATTTTAATGAAACATAAGATTGCAGTCCATTTTTATTCTTTAGGGTTTGCATTAGAAAGTAGGAATTAACACTTCAGTTTGTTTATTTCGACCATATCCAGATTATTTTCAAATCATTGTCAAAAAATAAGATCTGCTTCTATTTCGGCTAACGGGATGTTAAGAGTATAGCTAACATAACAAAAATCTTATGAAAATTTTAAAGTAAATATGAGGCTTACGAAAATTGTTCTGCAAAGGATTTTACTTATGCTCGAGAGTGTGAGTTATGTGGAATAAACGGGTGGGTGGGAATAGATTACAAGAAAATCAACCTAAAATTGTTAAACAATTATTTATATTACTGTTCATGAATAAATTAGGAATAGTTTCTTTCCGTTTCCGTTCATCCTCCGACTTGGACGTTGACTACGACTACTTAAAACTTGGTTCAAGTTTTGGTAATGCGCTGCAGCTGGTTAACACGACGATTCTATCATGTGGTATAGGTGGTGGTGGTCTGGTCACGAGTTTCTGGTTACGCCTCCAGGTCGTTGACGAATAGCACCTCTCGGTTCTTCAGTCCCATATCCTGGAGGCTCTTGTTCAGCGTCTCGTTGGCGGCGCCCTCAGAGGCGTCCACGTCAGCTTTCGAGTAGAGTACCCGCTTCGGGAAATTCGTTGTGATCTCGAACTCATCCGGCGAAGCGGGATGGCAAAAGAGATAATGATACACGTCCTGCGAAATTTTTAAATAGTATTACAATTTAAAGGTGCTTAACTCCACTACTTTACCTTTACAGAATCAGTTTGATTGAAACGCCGCTCGAGGCGGGTCCCACTGGGAAGCTTGAAGACAACGGCAATGGCTCCCACAGCATCGGACGGCGGCTCTGATGGCACCAACGACGCTAGCTCGATCTTCTGTCGGGCTATCTCCTCCTTGCGCAGCTCCACGTCACGTTGGGCTCGTTCCTCCGCCTCCTGCGCTTGCCGAACAGCATCTCGCTCCCGCTGTCGCTGGCGCTCCTTCTCCTCATCGGCCAGCAGGCTCTGCTCGTAGGCCTCATCCTGCTGGCGCCTCAATGTCTGCGTAAAGTTTCTTTCTAGTCGGTCCGCGCGCGCCTGACTTAGCCAGACTTCATTGGCCGCCACCACAGATTGCAGGCGGCGAAGCAACTCCTCAGGCGTGCAGTCGCCCTCAAAGCGACCAACAATCATCATGCGATTCGCCCGCAGGCTAATCATCACCATTAGTGGATAGCTTCGAACAGTAATGGACTGCATTACACGGTACCCCTCCGGAGTGGCCACGTCACAGCCCCACAATAGGGTGTGTGTGTTGATATAATCGATCACTGATCTGGAGGAGAGCGTCTCGCGGCAGAACGAGTCAACGTCGGGGTTCTTTGTGGGATCCTTGTGCAGGTAAACAATCAAAAAGCGCAGCTCCTGCTTGGCATCGTTCAGAGCCTGGGCATAAGTGCCCTGATAGAAGACAGGGTGTTCCGGGTACCTTTCGTAGTACTCCCGGATAAACTTCATCACATCCCCTAGCGGATCTGTGACCAGTCGTGGCTCATTTCCACCACCTATATTGATGAATGCACTTACAATACTCGATAGCGTGGAGTAGAAGTATTGAAAGACGAGGTTGATCACATATCCAAAAAGTCCAGTGAAACTGCGGGGAATTGGCCCACTGGGAATACGGCTTACTGTCCGGCCGCCAGGCATGTTGGCCGAGAACACTTGCTGTAGGAAGCGATCGTTGATCACAGCTGGCGCTCGCACGTCTGTTGAAGCGGCGAACATGGTGGGGCGTCCTTCACGGATATTTAGTTGTTCCTGGAAGGCCACCTGCAGATGATACAAAATACATTAAATAACTCGCCCGTAAACAGACAAAAGAACTAGGTATTTTAGTGCAAAAGTCAATAAATAAAGATAAAAAGGACTTAGAAAGTTTATCGTGTTGTGTGCTCCATTTTGGTGGCCACGACTGTGACATATGTTTGCCCCCGATGTTCGCCCAGTCATTGTACCTCGAGATCCCATTGGTGTCTGATTAGAACGTCGCGGCACACGTTCATGTCCTCGATTCCGGTGAGATCCTGGAATTGGAGCACCTTCTCCGTCTGCTCGTTTGTTAGCCCGTCCGCCTCCATTTTTCCAGCAGGTGATGGCCTCCGCTCCTCGTTGTTTTTGTTGCTTCTACTTTCTACGCCGTATTTGCGCTAGTGTGTGATTCTGTGTGTCACAATTCGCAGTGTTGCCGTGTTTTTACAGGGCCTTGTCCCGACTCCCGTTGCTGCGGAGGCGAGTTGGGGGGATACGGTCTCTAAATGCTCCTATTGGTCGCCCCGAATCATTTCAACGCTTCCAGCCAGACTATAAGCTCTTTAACATTTCTCGACAATTATTTCTCCTTTTTATGCAGGTGATTGCTTGTCTTCTTCTTGCAATATTTCAGTGCTGTAAAAATCTTCTTTTTAGTTTCAGTGTTGTAAAATCTCATTTTGAATACATTTTATAATACCTGCCAATGTTTTTTTCCGCCAACTTTATGTCCACATATAAATTTACGTTTTTACATATAATATTTATTTTTTCCCCAAGCTTATTGGAGTCAGTTTAATAGGAACAGGAATATACAAAACACATTGTAGATGTTGAAATATAAGTCAAATGTGTTGGGTTATTGGGAGAAAATAAGGAGGTTGACACTTTTCAATCTTTAGCTTAGGTATATTAATAAATAACATAATATTGTAAAAGTATTTTTTCAAAACAAATTTTGTACAGATTCCAGTTAGGTGATCCGTGGAGGAATCGGCGGACTATCGGCTTTGTCGCATCTCTAGCAGCAACAACAAGTAGCGTTCGCTCTAAAATTTGAATCCGGCTTCGTTTGAAAATCAATTGGGGTAAAATGCATTTAATATCGACCTCTAAGAAGACAGTGCTGTCAGATTTTGTTGACTTGGAGACAAAGTCGGTGTTTGCGCACACGAGTGGAGAGTCCACGGATTTCCAGTTCAATGGCCAACGACGTGTTTTTGTGGAGGTGGATAAGATGGCGGGTTTGGCGGTGATGCGGATTAGGGAGAAGGAGGAGAAAGGTGGGCAGAGTGTTATTGCTTCTTGACATTTCTAAGTTAACATATTATCCTTTCGACAGGCCCGGAGATTCAGCGAGTCCGTAAGCTGACCATCGACAATGCGTACTGTGTGGCCTGTGCTAAACAAACATCCGACGAAATCGCAGTGGGCCAGAGCGGAAGTGTGAAGCTCTATAACTTCCGAACAGCTCAATTGATCCACAGATTTCCTGCCGACCCACAACGCACAACAGTCCTGTACATGGACTATAACTGCTCCGACGAGTACATAGCCGCTGTTCGTGAGGGAGGATCCATCAATATATTTGGTACCAAAACACAACAGAAGATGAACACCTTCACAGTGGATAGCGAGTGAGTGGCTGAGATTGGAGCAGGGCGCAGACTAATGACTCAATGCGTGACTTTCCAGGTCCACCCTAGTGCGCTTTCATCCCAGCAAGCGATTCCAGCTCTCGATCGCCTCGTACAAGGGAGCCGTTTACGTCTATGATGTGCAGAGCAAGCGCAAGATCTTCAACGCAGACGCTCACACTGCCCCCTGCCGGGACATCAGCATGTGTGCCGCGTTACCCAACCTGCTGGTCAGCGTGGGATTCGACTGCAAGATTAATATATTTGATATCCGAAAGAATCGGGCGCAAGCGTCCACCGATCGCCTGGGATTCTCACATCCTTTGTCCACGGTGGCTCTTAGCGAATGCGGAACCTACTTTTGCGCTGGAAACCTAAAGGGCGAATTGTTGGCCTACGATATGAGAAGCACCAAGTCTCCGTTGGCTGTGAAAAGCGTCCACGAAGGAGCCGTGACTCGGGTGGCCTTTGTGCCCGGTCAAATCGAAGATAACGTTCAGAACGGCAGCTTGAATAGTTCCGGAAATGTGATGGGAGTGGCCACTGAAGCGCCGCGTGTGGAGCGGGCACATAGCGACGAGTTGCGGAAGTCGATTGCCGCCAACTTGCTAAGCACCCAGCAGCAATTGAACAACATGGCCAGCATGGGATATGGGATATCTACTCCAGCTACCGTTCGTCCACAACGAGACTCCTTTTGCGACTTTCTGGATAACCAAGGACCCAGGGCAGTGGATCGCATGTCCACCCGTTTGGGTACCTCCCACAGGGATAGCTTTGACTGGGACACCCTTAACCGTAAGCCCATTATGAATGAAACTCTCCAGCGTCAGAGCTTAGTGGGCGGATCGGTCCTAAACTCGACGGACAACTCGGGCAACAACTCCACCGCAGAGTCACTTCAACGTAAGTGTTTTCCATTAGTTGACGAATACGAAGTAAAGTTTACTTTTAATCCCCGCAGAAACACTTAGTGGGCCGCTCAAGGATCGTAGCAACATCTCCGCAGAGGTTAAGCTAATGAAGATCACGGAGACGGACGAGCACATGGAGGAACAGTCGGCCAATTGCTCCGTTGAGAGCAGCACAGGCGCGGGCAGCGATAAGGAGAATCCTCCCCCATCGGACGTCGAACTGAAGCGCCGGCTGCGCATGCTCTCAGCCAGTCGGAACAGCACTCCGCGCGTTGATAATGTTACGCCGCAATCCTCTAATCCGAAGCTAAAGCCCCAGCAGCTGCTGGCTAAATCTTCGAGCGGATTGTCCTCCCAAATGGAGGGGGATTGGCGAAAAGAGTTGGCCGATCTTAAGGAGAATGTCGACGAGACGCGTGCCTACCTGCAACAGGAAATGGCCTATCTCAGCGACCGGAGTCGGAAGAACATACTCGAGCAGATGGCCGAACTATCAAAGCGGCACATGGATAACACGCAGGACATCCGTGATGCCCTGGACATACTTCTAAGGGGCGACAGCTTCATGCGAGAATTATGGCGCTTGCAGAACGAGAACGAAATGCTAAAGGCCGAACTTAAGTATTACAAGGAGCGCGAGAGAACCGAATCCTGTGAAGAATAGTTTTAAAAAGCACAAGGATTACAGTTTATCGTCCGTTAAGGAGAAGGAGAGGACACCCATAGCCTCTTGGGTAGGGCATTTAAAATTATTGGTTATTGAAGACCCTTGCATCGAAATTTTTATAAGATTCCCGCCCTGTGGGTGTATTTTAAGGATCTATTTATTTTGCCGATCTTCATATATGTTATTTATATGCCTTTTAATAAATGTTGTTAAATAAGTGGTTAAAATGTATATAATATCCCTTTACTTTCGGTATTCCAACTTGAGATACTCGTTCGATGGCAGGTTCATCGGCATGTCCACGGAAATGGTCCTGTTGAAGTTCTCGTAGTCCACCAGATACCGCTCGTTCTGGGCATCGTAGTGTATGATGTTGACGAATCGCTGGCCCCAGAATATCTCCCGGGGCAGGTAGGATGTCTTGGCCTCCGTCATTTGGGCCGTGGCTGGGGAGGTTCCCACAATGGACACATAGAGCTCGAACTGGGCGGCGTTGAAGAGCTTGGCGGTGGTGAACTGGAACAGCGGACTCGTCTTGTCGATGACATGGCAAACAACTTCGGGCCAGACAATCAGCTGCTCCCCATTCCCCTCCAGCTTCAGCTCGGTGTGGGTTTTGATAATCTCGCCCTCGCGCGTGCTGCCAAGAAAGATAAGATGGGAGCTTCATCGGCAAAACTACTCGGAAAGGTGAACTATACTACATGGATGCCTAATATTTGCTCACTAATCTGAATGTCGTGCTTCACTTAAGGGGACTACGTCATAGCTATAGCTCTGGTAGGAAGTGCCTACCCGAAAATGCGACAGTGACTCACCGCTTATCCACGATCATGTAGACTCGAATCTTGGACTCAATGGTCTGCTGCTCGCGGGGATCGCACACCCGGAAGAGCAGACACAGCTGCCCGTCGCGATAACAAATCTGTGGAAGACAGGAGCTTGATTTTCTGTTAATCCCCGTGGAGATTAGGGTCTTGACTTACCACCGCCTTGTCGCTAAACTTCAGCTTGGTCATCTGCCTGGCCGGGCGCGCCGTCTTGGCGTAGATTACGCTCACCATGATGCCTTCGATCAGGGCAGCGCTCAGCATCTGCATTACGAACAGGAAGATGGTTTCCGGGCACTCCTCACTGGCGTACTTCTCGCCGAATCCCAGGGTGGTCTGCGTCTCCACCGAGTAGATTATCATGGCCACCCAGTTCTTGACGCCGTATATGCAGGGGTCTTCTCCCTCGCCCATCCTGGCTCCTGTAATAGCATCGAAGATGAAGTCGCCGTGGGAGTAGGCAACCACGTAGCAGAGCACGGCGAAGAGCAGCCAGCTGAGGAAGTAGCTGCTCAGGAACAAGGTCAGCATGTACTTCCACTCCAGCTCCATCTGTGCGAGAGGTAAGGGATCCCCGATTAGGACTATGCGAACTCCCAGTTTGGCAATGAAAGTAGGTATGCGGTTGGTTAATATCGTATTTATTAATATGCATGAGTATTTCAGTGGGTCATGGTTCGGTTAATGGATTAAAGAACTAAATGCTAAACGTGACGGGCTCGCCCTGGCCGGGATTAGGCTTCAACAAGTGATGATTGTGGTGCGGCGGTTCGTTCGCTAGCTCGTCAAGTTTCCGCTGAATGCTTGGCGTTATTTTATAGACATCCAATCCCGACATATCGTCGGTGTTGGGGACACTCTGTGGCGGTTTCTTATGGCCAAACATGGATCTTACCAGCGTGGTGACTAGGTCGCGCATGTAGCGCCAGGACTTCTCTGGTATCCGACGGAAAACGACGTTTTCCTTCCCGTTCTTCTCCATCACTCGGTGCAAAGTGCGGCGCATACCTTCAGAGGATGAGGTGCCCACATCCGGAGTCAGCTCTATGGTACTACCTGCCCAGTCATGGGTGCAGGGAAAGCTATAAGAGGTAGGGAAAGGTTTGTAAAGCCTCTAATAATCTTATTTATTAAAAGATCTACCCCGAGAAGGACTAGACCCAAAAGAATCAGAGTTTGTAAAGAGATCTCCTTACTTTTGTTCGCTGCGCGTTTCTAATTGATCTCCGGGGCTTGCCTTGGACTTTCTACGTCGCACAAAGCCCGGACTTTCCGGATAGTAGTCCGCTGCGTTAACCGTCTCCTTTTCGGAGGACCGGAGCAAGGGCTTCTGCTCCAGAGGCTTCGGTTTCACGGGCATCGACGTGGAGCGGTGCATGGCAATGGATTCTTCGACAGCGGCAGCTCCCAGGTCAGAGGGGTCCGATTGCATGGTCTAGATTGAGACGGAGATTAAGACGTATCTGCCCACGCAGATGTGTGCACGACCTACAATAATTGCCGGGAATTTGGGGCAATTTCACTCGGTGGCGTAGATTTGCGTTTTAATTTTAATTGAATTAGGCCGCTGCAGCGATCGTCGGCGGTGGGGGCTTAGTCGAGAACTTGATTGCCTGACCGCTTGACACTGACTAAGTCGGATCACTGGAGACTATCATCTATCCAGCCTCTCCAGATATGCATTTGGACATATTTACTATCTGGATCGCGGTCCATGTGACGGCGGGTGGACAGCCGCCCGCTGAGATTAGTTCATCACAATGGCCCATTATTTAATGTATAATTTAGCCGTTATCAGTCTATTTATTTTGCGAATAATCAAATATTGTCTCGAAGAAGGTAAATATGGTCCAACTTATCCGTTGACTTTTTAGCCTGACGTAAATTGTCTTTCGATAAGGGAGATATTTGAATTAGGCGGGCTATTAGACTAAGCACTTGTTATCGTTATCGCTAAAATTTTAATAAATTTAGGAAAACTTGTTTAATAAAAATATGTAAATTTAGCTTAAATAAAATACATTCTTGATATAATTAATCTATTTAATAAAATTTTCACAAAAAAATATAAATATATCTAACCGCTAATGACAAACCGGCTAGGGATGGAAAAGCTTGTTATCGAAAGACTTCTACTGCAGCCCTGGTAATTGTAATCGATATTCTCCCCATGGCACCTTCGATTTCTGAGCACACCTCCGATGGCAGATGAACTCACGAACGCGACGGTAAAAGATACAAGATACTCAATCTTGAAGATACAACAAACTTCCGTTCCGTGCGTGTTTCGTCGAGGAATATTGCATAAATTGATGGAATCGCAACATTGACGAGCAGACAATCCGTTGAGTGCAATCACAGTCTGCCGTTTAATTACACAAAAAAAGTGAAAAGCAGTGCGTGTGTGTGATTGTGTGTTAATATCTGTGTGTGTCTCGACGTCGTCGTCCCAACAAAAATTTCCAATTTCAAGAAAAGCAAACTACTGTGAGCAGCAGATTGGGAAATCAAACTAAAATATGCTTAAATTACACTTTGCATAAATTGAAACAAATCGCCAACTAGCTGAAAGCAACCGGAGCACCGAAAATAGCAGAGGGCAGCAAATCAAGAGAGAGGTAAATAATTGCCAAAATGTCAAAATTAGGGGGGTCTGGGTGGAATGAATATTTCTTGATTGCTTAAATTGGATTCCCTGAATCCGTTTGCCTTGCATAAATTTAATGACAGATACATAGTAGTTGCCGTTCGCTATTTATTTGCACTTTGCTTTTGTTTATTTAATAAAATATATTGTCGTGAAATGCCATTGATAAATTTATTAGCAAAAGGCATTCCGGGAAGTGGCAAATTGTGGGGGGAAAACGTAAATATATAATATGTATTTCTTGAAATAATATTTGTCGTAATGTAATAATGTCGCCCCTTAGCCCCTTGGCCCGTTGCCCGTTTTATATTTTCACTGTAGTCGCGCTGTGAGCCCAAAAGAGCGATACGAAATTCCCAGAAACGCATTTTCTAATTTAGACCGATTTCTGAGAAGTGACAGACAGCCCAAGCGAGCGAGCCAGAGCCAGAGGCAGATACAAAGATACAGAGATACTCGTACTCACAGATACTACCACTACACGCGACCCAAACGAGGACAGCGGAGTGGTTCGTTTCCCAGTATGTGTGTGTGTGTGTGTGTGAGTGCTGATGATGTTGGCAGCTGCTGTGCTTGTTGCTGTTGTTGGTGTTGTTGGTGGTTCGGGCTATTGAATGAATGCTGCTGCAAACATTTAACACCGCAAGCCAAGCTGAAGCTGGTCTCACACAGATACAGGTTCGAGTACTAGCAGATGCGGATACAGTGGATGCTCCCAAAGTGGAAAGTTTTCACATTCCAATGAAACTTGTCAATAAATTAAATATGAGCTTATTGTTTGAATAAAATCTTATGGAATAAAAATTAAAATATATCATTTTTTATACAAGAATCTCCACTTTTAGTTAAAGGGCCCACTGTACTTGTACTCCTCTCACCCATACACCAAAGTCAATCCCAATACCAATACACCGATATACCAATTCGGCCGAAGCCGTACAACAACAACTAAAATAGCAGGAAAAGCAACAACAGCCGGTGGGTGGGAGGGGTGAAGAGGTGAGGTGAGGTGAGAGAGGAACATCGGAACATCAGCTCTGTTACCCTTCATAAGAAAAGGTGTTATTAACTTCGTTTGTAATGCGTCAAATTGTTGTTGTTGTTGTTGGTTGTTGTGTGTGTGTGTGCACTTTTTTTGATTATTCTTGGTAAAAACCCGCTCTTACCATCTTCTTCCGCTCATTTCCTTGAATTTTCGTATTAAACTTGAGAGCGTTTTCAATTTTTTTTAATAGCTTTTCATGTGAAACAGTTTCGAGCAGGATAAGTGCAGTCGAGAGTGGTGGGGATGGGGGAAGGGGGCTGCTGCTTAATTGGCTCTTCCCAGTAAGCCAAAGTGAGATGGCAGCTGGCCACAGCATGGCTAGAGTGGTGGGGTGCGGGAAGAGAGTAAGTGATCTTGCGAAATGCCAAATAGTCTGCCCAGCAACCGAAAGGTGCCTCCTGCTGAGGGAGTTCCAGCTGCCATAGTGTTCTCCCACTCCCACTCCCACTCTCCACTCTCACAGGAGAAATGCTCTCACAAAGGTTGACTATTGGCTATTGCCCTCCCCTTCCACCGGGTGCGCCTCTTTCATCTCTCGGCCATTGTTATTTGTTTTCCTTTTATTTTTTTTTTTGATGAGATTTTTCGCTGGAAATTTGATTTTGTTCGTTTTATTGTTAATTGTTCGCGTGAATTTGTTCAATTGAAACGCAATGCCAAAAGTGAAATGTGGGCAAAACAGTCAATTGTGTGTGTGAGTGTGTGTGTGCGAGAGTGGAGAATGAGATGTTTTTACGGAGAAGGGCAATTAACGGAAAAACACTCTCGCCCTGTACCATATTTACAGTTTCAAAAGCCACCAAACGCCATTATTAACACTGGATTCCCCTGAAATTCCATCTAATCGTTATATTAATTGCACGTAATTACGAGGGAAAATAATATGTACATACATATATAACATTTATTCTTAGCTTTCCCGAGATATTACGACTACTAGTAGCTTCCATTGAAAACCCATCAAGTCTCCGGAAATAGCTATAGTTTGTTTTCTAATCTATACGATATGGCTCTCGATATGTCTCTAGTGTCAGGGTTGTCACATCCCTGAAAGTCGAACCCAAATATATTGTTTTCGAACAAAAGCCAGTTAAACCGAAAACCAGTTCAAGTCTGGCTTATGTAAATTATGTCTATTTGTGCCCGAGTTACGAAACGCAGTATGCACACGGTCGGGGTCTGTTTGTTTGTCGAGCAAAGCAAAGTTATGAGCAATAACAATCATAATAATAATATCTCTTGACCTTACCCCCGACTCCTGGCTTCTTATCTAAGCCATCCCACCGCCCAACCGCCCATTCCTACCTACATATTTGCTTTTCTGCGGAAAAGGCGAACGAAATGCTTTTGATTGTTCTTAGAATTCTGTTTCGTTTCAACTTTGCAAACGTTTCGTTTGATAAGCGGGTACCCGTGTGTATCTTTGTATCTGTATCTGTATATGTATCTGTATCTGCGTTTGTGGGCGTTGGGTGCCTGGCTAGTTTGTTGATTTTGCAGTTCGTAGTAATTTATCAATGAATTTTTATAGAAGCCTATATAATCTCAACTGCTGATAGTCTACGCAAAGGTCGTCTTGGCTCCGTAATCGCTAAATTTAATGCCTCTATTCAATCACACACTTACAACCCGTATCAGTTGATATAATTAAGTTTCTTGACCACTTTCCGGCTCAGTCCACCAATAGTCTTGAACGCAGGTACACCTTGCGAGCCCGAAGCAGTCATAAACCTACCTCAATTGAAAGGTAGGTTTACGGTTTTAAGGCCTGTTGTGATCTAGTTCCCCAGCGGGGCTTCTGGGCTTAAGCCACCCTTCTTCAACTTCCAAGTGTAAATCTATTGTAATCTGGTGTCCGGGCTTTGGTGTTCCGTTAACCGGAAATTCCCATTAATCTTCAGACGCGGCCACCGTGACTATCTTTTCCCGTGAAGTTCTCGTATGTATGTACCTTATCTCCCCGGGAGTGACCTTATCATTCAGAAGATGATACGATTACGATATGACAGCGACCTGGACTTTAACCAAAACACAAATCTCGTGGGCCAAGTTCTGGCAGCTTATGGCCATAATTTCAGCTTAACCCAAACAAAAGGAGCCCACGAGCACAAAAGTATCTAGGGAAACCATCTTTTTATTATTTTTCGACCAGCATAAATAGAAAAGAGAAAACCATTCGGTCTAACCCGGACCTGAAAAAAACCGGGACCGGGACCCGGGGCAAAAGAATTAACTTGAATTTTTGTTAGTGCTTTCGTTTAATCAGAAAACCGTACACTCACAGACGGACTGGGTGACTGCCTGACTGGCTGGGTGAACTGACAGAGAACTCCATGACTTCACCGGGCATGTGAGTACCGTGTGCATATTTTCCAGGAATTTTTCCACCACCGGATTTATCATGGAGAGCCTTTTGCGCGCTCTGTGTGCCAATTTCCAAGAAATCGCCCCTTTTCGCATTTAATGTTAATATTATTATTTTCATTATTATCGTTTTCGGGCCTAGATAATCAACACCTATGTGTGTGTGTGTGTGTGTGTAGGTAGTGTGCTCCCACTCTGCCCTGTGATAACAGAGCCTCTGGTGGGAGGGAGAGAGTTGGCTCTGGAGCGTAATATAAACAAAATAATTTCTTACGTCAATGGAGATACTCTACTACTACTACTGCCCACTACTAGGTACACCGCTTAAGATCTCGCAGACCATAATCAGTACACACAGATACTCTTCCACTGTATATGTATGTATGTAGCTCGTGCCCGGGCCGATTTTACTGGAAATGCTAATTAAAGTTCCGTATAAGTATGAGAACCGTTTGTTTATTTATCACTTTTTTTTTTTTTTTGAATGGATGGACGGACTGCTGGCTGCGAATCCGAAGCCCAAAACGTAATAAATAAATCTCATTTCAATTTTCTTGCGAAAAAATATATCAAAATGAAATACACTTTCTCAGGACGGCCTCCTCCTCGCCCCAGTCCCCAGACCCCAGACCCCCAATCCCACTCTTGGCACTTTACTGCTCCGCTTTGCATGTGATTTTATTTTCAAGCGAACTTCATTTGCGAATTCCCAGTAAATGCAAAACAAAATGGAAACAAAAAAGCTAAAAAAACGAGAAAAAAAGAAGCCACGTCGGCTACAACAAAAAGTAATTGAATTCGCTTTAAAATCCTACGCCCTGTGCCCCCCCCGTCTGGGGTTTCTTCTCTCATCGAAGCCTCCTCCGCTTGGCAACAGGGTATGCTAACTTTTTCATACTTTTCGTCATAAATATTGAATCTTTTTTTTGGAGGACTTTATGACCAATTCGTGACTATAATGTTAACGGGTTTTGGGAGTATTTTTCTTTAGAAATTTTTGATTTTTTGAAGAGCACTACCGTATTCGTCTAGGCCCGAGATGCTTTTGCACTTGTCCCCCATACGCCCCGTTGACCGCAATTCGTGCTGCCGGTTTGTTGTGACAATTTCTGCGTAAAACATAATACCCACATATATGTACAGTGGGCCAGGTTGAGACCAGGCCAGGCCAGCTAGTTGGTGGGAAGGTTACTGAAAGCTCCCGGGCTCCACTCCACCTCTCCAAATGGTTTTTTAATAACGGACCTTGGCGGGGCGCGGTCCATGTACAAAAATTATTCACTTACAGATAATAAGATTGGATTGTTTCGAGTTGGAAGTAAAAAAAAAACCAGTTATGAGCTCATTATAGCTGGAAGTTCCCAGACCTACCTCTCATACTCACATGTAAAATATGTATAACCAACTTGTAATTAAAATATTGTCTAAAAATAGTTAGTAGCTCTACTTTAAAGATTTGAATAAATTCCGCATACATTTCATTTGGAATCTGGTTTTGGGCTATGGGTGAATCCCCCCTATTTATTGGTGGAGTCCCTTATTTGCTAGTCAAGCCGGTGAACTGGCTTTCTTTCTCCCAGCCCCTTACCCCATGCCCATGCCATTTATCAACATTTTTACCCCGAACAAGTTATGTATTAGATCACTATCCGCATTTGGATTTCTGACGAAATTTCGCATTGTCTGCAGCAAAACTTCAGCTGCTCGATGGTTGGATGGCCCCGCGTGGCAACAACACAAAAGATACCAAGAAACCCTAAACAAACAAAGGCGAGGGGCTGCTCCTCAGCTGTCGGGGCAGCAAGGGCGGCAAGTTCGCCTGGACGGACGAGCCCTCGACTGGGACAGCCTGGCCTGCTGCTACTCATCCTGTGACTCATGATCGCCTTCGGCTACCTAAACTGCCTACCGAGGCACTGAAAGAAAAGCCAGTAACCAGATTCTTGTCTCTATAGACTGCCTCTCCGAAGCTGAATCTTTTTCTGGCAGTGTATTGTGACCACATATTCCTCTTTTTAAACCCGGCCTGAGCTCAGTTTTTGGTATTTCCATTGAAAAACTCTGTTAGCTGGCTGGTCGTCTCATGCGGGTCTCTCGGAATCTGAAGTTGAATCTCGAGTTCAAGTCAGCGATTCTGCCATTCTGGGCTTTGTATTTCATCATAGTCGTATATATAAATACGATAATGCGAAGGAGACTCACTCTCTGGTAATTATCGGGAAGGGGAACGATCATGTCATACTTATTGTGATTACTCACTCACTCGCTCCATTGATTAAATCGTACGATAAATCGATCCAGCACGTGCGGCACGAAGTATCTAAGTATCTGTATCTATAAGTGTGTGCAAATCACCGTTAGACAGCCGGCACTACTCGCGCCGAACGGTGAATACAAATCGAAGTCGAGTCCATTAGTCTATAATTTGAATGAAATCGCCTCAGACCCCAGACCTCCCACCACCCCACCTATGGAGGGTTTTCCAGCTAAATACTTAATTTATAATTTTTCGATTCTCGTTAAAAAGCTGCAATTTTTGACTGTTTACCTTTACTGTAGCGTATTTCCGGGAAGTGGCATTAATGTTTTCTCCACCATTTTTGGGAAAAATTGTGAAAATATATATATATGTATATGATATGTATATATGCGCTGTTAATTGCCTCGATTGTTCGACAAGGGTTCGACGAGTGGTTCGAGTGTTTGATTAGGCCCTCAAACAAGCCCGTACACATATTGCTCGTTAGGTGATTAACACGAGGGAATTCCATGGAAAGCACTGAGCCCATGGGTTGACAGCAGACCATGGCGCTGGGGTCACAGAATCTGGTGATACGAAGAACCCCGGGGGAAAGTGATAGTGTACTCGAACATGGTTACCATGTCCATGGCTCTACAATGACCTCTTTCCATTGAATTCAAATCTTGAGGGATGGAAAATTCTGTAATCTGCGAGATTCCATTCTAGGAACTGATAAGTCTTCGATTAAGACCTCTTGATTAAGTTTCTCCGCAGAAATCCTCAATTAACTCAACCGATAAACAATATTTATGAAAGGTCCCCCATTATTCCAAATTCTGTATGATTTATGGTCTAGTTAATTAGTAATGGAATTTTTAAGAAATTTAAATACTTGGACTTCCGAAAAACTCACATAGTTCGTGGTAATGCTGATAAGTATTTACTGGAAAAGAACTCATATAGGGTTTTTTCTCCCAATCTATGACTTTGATTTAAAAAACAATTTCTTGTGAAATATTTCTGATTATGTGTAGGACGAATGTAGGGGCTTTTATGAGGAAATTAGTGACAGACATGGAGAATAAATCCAAACCGCAAGCCCAAAGCTATTGCTCATTGGTCCAATTTCGGGTAACTACCAAGAATTCCTACCAAGAGTGAGTCACCTCAGTAACCTGTGCGTCTCGTCTGCCTGTTGTCAGGCCACCAATTACACGGAACTTTGGAGCTAGATGACACATCTGGGTATGTGGGTGATAAGGATTCGCCAGTAAACCCATTAGTCAGTCGAAGAAGCGTTCTTTCCGGATCGGATCGGAACTTGGAAAACAGGGCGGGCCCCTCGAATCGTAATGGAACTTATCAGTTAATAATTCCCCAACTTTTGAATGAACGAGGGGCCTCTCGTTTCCCTCCCCAGATAACCCGAGTTGACCCAATAGTCACATGACGGGCACTGGGACTGGCACTGCATTCAAATATGTAGATGACGTATTCTCAGTGCCCGACCATTGATTTCATCAGCTAGGCAGCCTTCGCGGGTGAGGAGTCTAAAAATAGGATGCGCCCATTATAATTTAGAGTGTGTTTGTACTCGGCGGTACTTGCTAGTCTTCTGGGGGGGAACTGGTGCGTGGGATTGGAATGCGCCATTGTTTATCATTATCCCCGTCCCATAATCATCTGCCTGATGGGATTCATTCTCCTCGTGACTCAGTTCGTGGGGGAGTTCTGCGGCAGTGGCCTCCCCCAAGGCGCCATTTCGCAGAGGGGGGGAAGCACCATTAATCAGTACTTAGACAGAGTTGCATTTAATTGCTCATTTGACCGCCGAATGGGTCCCCCATATACTACAATCTTCTCCAGTCTGGCTCTGCAATTAAAAGTGCTCTGGTGAAGCCCCCACCAAGTGATGACTCTGTGCTGTAGGTCAAGACACCAAGACGCTTCTCACGCCGCACAAAACTCGTTCTTCCCGGCCAGTGACTCTAATTCTGGAACCTGCTAACTTGGCCAGTCAATAGTAATCCGTAATCGGGTGGGTAAGGGAGTGGATTCCGTTACCTAATGGTATACCTAATGGTTACCTAAGCTAAGATAATAGAGGCTACCGCCTATTTGCTCATATAATCTATTTGTGAATGAGCTCATGTTTCCTAGTATATATCTTATAGATTACTATTATGGATAGTACTAACTAACCTCTTACACTCTTGCCTTTTCAGAAGCCCTAAAGGAATCTACTGTCACGTTCAGAGCTTCCAATGGGTCATCACTTCAGCAAGCCAACTGCACGAGCCAACAGCAGGTCCTCCAGCACCGATATCAAGGAATTCGACTCGATTAGCCTGGCCGAGGAGCAGCTCGGCAGCAGCTCGCCGGCGGAAGTGCGTCAGATCATCATTAAGATACAGCTGGCCAAGATGGAGAACGGCAATGCAGGTGCCCCGATGGTGGAGCAGCAGTACCCCGAGGAGCGGCTGGTGATAGAGGAGGGCTCCACGAACCTGGAGACGGAAGGTGCCGCCTCGCTGTCTGCGGACACGCTAAATGCAAATGGCCAGATCGTCAATGTGGGTGTTGGTGTTGGACTGGGTGTGGGGGTAGGGGTAGGGGTGGTGTCAAATCGAACTGCCGGCAGTTCAACGGAAGCGCCAAAAACCGAGAGACAGTCCGTGAATAACAACAATTTAGCGGGAAGCGTCGGGGCGGCGATTAGTACTCTGCAATTGCATGACGGTAACAGCAACAGCAACACCAACAACCCCAAACCCACATCCGACGATATCGAAGCCGACGTCGGAGACGACGCCGACGACGACGACGATGTGGTGGATGAGTCGCTGCTCCGTCGGCGTCGCAGCAGCGGCGGCAACCACGAGTCCGAAGTCGTTGAGTACTGCGAGGTGCTCGAGTCGCTGCCAGTCAGCGGCATGTTGTCGACGGGAACGCAACTCACAACCAAGCAAGGTGGGCATAAAAATTCAAAATAAATAAAAAAATTAAAAAATAATATTAAGAGCCTAAAAACTCTATTAAAAACAGTGCACAGAAAGAATATTTACAACCATGAGGACTATTTTTTAAATTCAAAAATCGAAATTAAACTCAAATTTAGTGATAAAGTTCAGTGACGAATGAAAGTTAATTTCACAACCACTCGAATTTGATAATCAAAGCGAGCTAAGCTGATTTTAATGCCTTTTCAAGTGAGGCAACTGGAGTTAATTAAATAAACCCAAGTATCTCAAGTGCCTGGAAGGAAAGTATCTTAAAGATGCTAAACCAAACAGGAGAACACGAGCTGTGATTACTAAAAATAGAATCCAAAAGTGTTGTGAATAAAGCATCCGATGTTATCTGAATCTCAAAATAAACAAATCATAAGATTACTCAATTAAATGAGTATTTAATTTAAAAAGATATAGTAGCTATACTAAGATAGTTAGTGTAAAGTTCTTTCTGTGCTCCATTCAAAAATCAAAAGGAATTCCCCAAAACTTACTCATAAATCGTATCTCTTCCTTAAAGCAGCCACCAGAACCAGTTCCAACAACAGTTGCTGTCGGAGTCGCAGCAGCAAAACAGTGTCCATGGGAGCCTCAGTCTCATCCTCGGTGGCCGGATCGGCGGCCTCCTCCTCCGGTTCCAAGCGGCGGTGCTGCAAGTGCAAGTGTCGCGATGCCTTCCGGGGACTCAGGGACATGCTGCCCACGTCCAGTGGCAGTAACTCCTCCAACTCAAGCAAAAAGGACGCCAGTGCGGCGTCTGTATCGCGGAAAGCCCGTAATGTGGATCGCCGGTCGACACCGGCTACCCTGGGGTCTGTCAGTGGCAGCTCCTCAATGCCCAGCCAGAGGTTACAGAGCCAGAGGAAGCGCAACTCGGTGGCCGTGCCGGATGCGAGCCACCATCATCACCAGGTGATCATCAGGATAACGTCGCCGCGCTTCGTCGTGGAGTCGCCCAACGGACGGGTCACCGTGGTCACGGAGCCAGTGGACCCCCAAACGCCCATCACCCCGCCCCAGCCGCGCCCCATGACGGTAGCCGTTCCGGGCAACAACGCACCAGCATCCTCGTCCTCGATCCGCAACGTGACCGTGCACTCGCAAATCGACTTCATGCACTGCTTGGTGCCCGATCTCGAAAAGATCACGAACAGCAGCTTCTACTGGGGCAAGATGGACCGCTACGAGGCGGAGCATCTGCTCGAGGGCAAGCCGGAAGGCACGTTCCTTCTGCGCGACTCCGCCCAGGATGAGTTCCTCTTCTCGGTCACATTCCGCAAGTACGGCAGATCCCTGCATGCCCGCATCGAGCAAAGTGGTCACAAGTTCAGGTAAGCAGAGACATCCCGAGGAATGTATTCATCAGGTACTAATGATTCCTCATCTCCCCACAGCTTCGACTGCCATGATCCGTGCGTTTTCACGGCTCCCACGGTGACGGGCCTCCTGGAGCACTACAAGGACCCCGCCTGCGTCATGTTCTTCGAGCCCTGCCTCACTATGCCCCTGCACCGCCGCCAGACCTTCTCCCTGCAGCAGCTGGCGCGGGCCACCATCGTCTCCAATACTAACTACGACGGCGTCAATCAGCTGGAGCTGCCGGGACGGCTGAAGAGCTACCTCAAGGAGTACCACTACAAGCAGAAGCTGCGCGTCAAGCCCTGCGACCTGAACACCCCGGTGCCCTGTTACGGGGACGTATAGCGGGCGGAGCAACAGGTGGGCTTCGCCTACTACGAGGACGTGGAGAGCCAGAGCGAGGACGAGGATGAGGACGACGAGGCCGTCAACATACGTGTCTCCTATGTCCAGCATGCCGAGGTCGTGGCCCAGCTGCAGCAGCAGCAACAACAACAACAGCAGCAGCAGCAGGCCTCCTCTAGTGGCAAGTCGTCCTCCAATCTGCAGGAGCAGCTCAGCCGGCTGCCCAACCGCATGGCAGCCGCCCTGGGCAGGATGTCGGCCAATCTGAACTGTTACCAGTCGGTGACCTGATGAAGCCGGAGCGGAAGCCGCAGGAACAACAACCCTAGAAACCAAAACTCAACTCGAGACAATCCCAGTGCATTGTGTGTGCCGCCACCATAAAGAGACCCAAGGAGTTACGACACTCTGTTGGCGGGTGTCTGAGACGTAGAAATCAAAATCGCATATATATAATTGTACTATAAACTAAGTATTACAAAAGAAGCCCCCTCTCAATGATAAGTATTACGTAAAAAGAGAAGCCAACAATCAATAAGCATTTTATTTCCTCCCCCCCTAAGTATTTTTGTAATATTTCGTTGTATTTATTTAAATCTATTGAATCTAAATTATGTGTAAATATTTTAAATATTACTATATTATACATATTACATACAGCCTAGTTAGTGTAAACCTCTCATTAGCCAAATTTCCAATTGTAATTTCGCCTATTTATACAAATATTATTTATTTATTTGAAGTGATTTCGTTTCGTGGCGAGTGCTCTGTTTTTTAATCACACAAACCAATTATAAAAGTGTACACCATTGTAAATAGATCCCTTCCCCTCCCTCCCCCACTAGCTAATAGCTATATTATTATACTGAAATTACAAATCGTGTATTCCTACCTAGGTGGTTGCTGTTATTCGTAAACATTCAATAAGCAGTTGTTTCAAAACCTATTGACATATCCGAAATGTTGATGAGCATGAGTATCAATATTCACAGAAAACAAAAAAAAAAACAAACAAAAAAAAACTAAAGAATCAAAAAAATAAAAAATAAAATAAAGCCAAACAAATAAAGTTCATGAAGATATTAGCAAAAGTATGAGATTTTCTTTCATTTTGGAGGTTTGGGGATGGGATTATTTTTTCTTTAGGTTTAATATCAAAGAATATATAATATGGAAATATTCTTGATTATGGGTTTCTTCAAAAATATATTTTATATATTTCTACATTATATAAAGCCTGGATTTATTAAGGATTTGTATACATATATAAGATATATATTTTTGGAAAAATTATATCTATTTGTTTGAAAGGACCTTGTGTCCTTGACCTTAGTTGCTTGATGAAGAATGATTAATGTATGATGCAATGTCATAGTTGCATGATTAAACATTATTTTTGCATGATGGAAGAATGATTTCATAATTTTTAAAAATGAATGTCAAATAATGTAATATTTAATATGCGTAATATAATATGCATAATATTATAATATTATAGTATGCATATATTATGCATTATGAATAACAGTTCACGATATAAAATGATAGTTGCATGATGAAGTATGACAGATGCATGATAGTTTTATACAAAAAACACTATCATTTAATCTTTAAACTTGAATATCAAATAATATCGGAATAAGATTTTAAAAATCCTCTCTAGACCTGTAGCATGGGTCTCTTCTCCCTGCCCTGGAGGTTTCCATTGGTGGAGGCATATCCGGTGCCGCCCATCTGCAGCGGAATAATGTCCTTTTCCTTGAGCTTGCAATCGGTGAGTGGGTGAATCATGTCCTTGCGTATAAGTCGCTCCACACACTCCATGGTCACCACATCGCCCGTGGGACGCAGCACGGCGCAGGGCACGGAATTGCAGAGCACATCATGGGTGATGGGGCACATGTAGCGGGCCTCCTTGGCGATCAGCGACTTCTTGGAGTCCCCATCCCGCAGAAGGGTGAACTTTACATCGATCAGGTCCTTGACGCGGAGGGGCTTGTGCGACACTGGACAGTAGATGGTGGAATCCGGCTTTTGGGCCTTGGAGACGCCGGCGTTGGGGCACTCCGAGGGCAGCCAGAAGCTGGGCAGCTTTTTCTCGTGGCCGTTCGCCATGTTGGAAACGGATGGTGTGGGTGTGGATGTGTCGGATGCGGAAGGACTAGCCGGCTTCTCGCCATTCACGAACTTCTCCACGCGCGCCTTCTGCTTCTTCTTGGCCTCCACACGGACCTCGTTCTCCTCGGCCTGGCGAAGGCGCTCGTACTCCTTCAGTCGGCGGCTGTAATCGTTCTTCTTGGTGACGACGTACTGCAGGATGGCCTCCTTGTCGAACAGGTGGCCGTCCTTGGTGATGACCGGGTGTCGGCACGGCTGCAGCGTCAAGGAGCAGCAGTCGAAGGACTTCACCGAGTCCTTGCCAAGCCTCTGAGCATTAGTTCCGTATCCGGACTCGGCCGCGTCGCGCTTCTTCTCGCTGTACGTGTAGAAGGCTCCGGCCGTACAGTTCCTGGCGTGGCGCGTCATCCTGGGGCTTCTTGATCGGGATTCTCTTTTTTTTACCAGAAACAACTGCAAATAGGATGATGTTTATTCTATAAGCTATTATAATTGTAAACCCACATTTATGCGAAACCTCTTTTTTTAAATTGTTCTTTATTTGAAGAGATATTTTTGGTGCCGTTTGAAATATATCAAATTCAAAAAATTTTTAAGAGTCACTATTTTGAAATGTTTCAGAAAGTCAAAAGCATCCTTGATTGTAATATATTCCAAATGATATGTAGAAACCCATTCTTAGGTTTTTTTTTTTTAAATTCTCGCGCCACATTTTCCAACACTTCTCGGACAGGGTTTCCAACTCAGTTTTTTATTTTTATCGATAACATATATTAATCGATGTCTCATTTTTTCTCTCATCACTAATATAAATATCGATACACATATATATACTATAAGCTGATATAAATATAACAAAACGGAATCGGCTGATAAAAATATAAACAGCGCCGTGAAAAGACGTCTCGGCGGAAGAGTTGAAAATAATTTGTTGATTGGTTCTGTTTTTTTTCCAAACACCTTTTTTTCGCATATTGTAGTCCCCGATTTCGCGAACAGATAGCGTGCTTCCATCGCCGCTGAATGATAGCTCTTAGTGCGCTTTTGACCAAATACACGATCGGTATTATGAGTAATTTAAGTAATGGCAACCAGCAGCAGCAACAGCAACAACCACAGCAGCAACAGCAGGGCCAGAATGCCCAGCAGCAGCCACAGAACGAGGCGGCAGGTGCGGCGGATTTTGTTGCCCCACCGCCCGGACTAGGTGCTGCTGTGGGCGTGGCAGTCATGCAACAGCGTCAGCGCCTCCTGCAACAGCAACAGCTGCAGCAGCAGCAACAGAACCCCGCCGCCGAGGGAAGCAACATGGGCCTGGACAGGGGCAGCTGCCTGCTGCGGTACGCCAGCCAGAACTCCCTGGACGAGAGCTCCCAGAAGCATGTCCAGCGTCCCAACGGAAAGGAACGGGGCACCGTGGGACAGTACAGCAACGAGCAGCACACGGCCCGCTCCTTCGATCAGATGAACGAGATGCGCAAGTAAGAGATGCTTCCCCACAGGCCCTCCTCCAAAGGGCGAAACCCGTTTAGATGACTAGATTATCTGAATACTAAATAGAAACTTTCAGATCAGATGATGACCTACCCCAAAGTAGTGTTAATTATAACTCGGCCGTCGCTCTTTATTAAAAATATCTCCATTGTGTGCCCAAAACAAAGGGAACACATTATATGGCCATAATGTCATTTGGACAGGTGCTCCGACGCGACAGATTTTTTGCTCATTTGGGCCAAGATGCGAAAAATATTCGCTGAAAATATCAGACGATCGCCCTCTCGAGATTCGTAGAGTCTGGCAAATTTGCGCAGTTCGCTTTGTTTGGCTGTTCCCTCGTCTAATATTTGTGTTTGTACAAAATATTTGCCCAGCGCTTTGTCGTGGGGCCATTCGCATTAATTATTGTCTAGTTTTATTATGATGAGTTTTATACGGGTGTTTGGCTCTTGGCTCTTGGCGGTTGGCGTTCGCATTAGGCCACGACCTTGAACTTGGCGACAGCCAAAAAATAAAACATCGCGGTTTCGAATCGAATTTCGATTCCGCTTCCGCCTCGGATTCTGCTGGTCTTCGGGCCTCACTGGAAAACTACTGGCGATATGGAAACTTTTTCGGCCAGTTACAACAAACTTGTTTTTGGCCGAAAGTGAATGTGGCGAAACACAAAAAAGGTTTCACACACACACTCACGGTGTTAAATAGATCGTTATTTATTGGCTTTTGGTTCGATTTCTATTTATGGACTTTTGCCAGGAACTACTGTCTCGGGGGAGAATTGTTTGTTTTCGTTAAGAAATTATAAACATATGCCAGAAAAATAATATTTGTAAACAATCAGCTATCAGGTGGCCATGAAGAGATTAGTGGAGAATACTATATTCACTCTCGAATCCATATTTTCAGACAAAAACAGCTCTGTGATGTGATACTGGTGGCCGATGACGTCGAGATCCACGCCCACCGCATGGTTCTGGCCTCCTGCAGCCCCTACTTCTACGCCATGTTCACCAGTTTCGAGGAGTCGCGTCAGGCGAGGATCACCCTCCAGAGCGTCGATGCCCGGGCCCTGGAGCTGCTCATCGACTACGTGTACACGGCCACCGTGGAGGTGAACGAGGACAACGTGCAGGTCCTGCTGACGGCGGCCAATCTCCTGCAGCTCACCGATGTCCGAGACGCCTGCTGCGACTTCCTGCAGACCCAGCTGGACGCCAGCAACTGCCTGGGCATCCGGGAGTTTGCCGACCTCCACGCCTGCGTGGAGCTCCTCAACTATGCCGAGACATACATAGAACAGCATTTTAAGTGAGTTTACAAGAGGACTAGCAGATAATAGTTGATAGTTGCTGTATCATGGTCATTATTTATCTCGAGTTTGATTCGCGCTTCCATCAATTAATCTTCTCCAGTCACAGGTTTTGATTCATCCCTCAATCGCTTGGGGTTTTAGCAATTGCCAGTCACTATCTAATAAATTAAACAATTTTCCATTATCAGAGGTCAATTATTCAACAAGATCAGTTAGCTAATAAGTAGGTTTCAACATCTTATCAGGTCTTTCCCTCAAGTGCCTGTATTGCGTTCTAATTCTATAGGAAACAGGTTGCCTCAAAATAATACTTTCTAGAGCAATATATATTCTTTAAGAAATTCATAGAATTCTCCTAAAGAATACCTCGATTTCAAGTAAAATAATAAATTAGCAATTAAAATGATTGAACCGGTTTCGGCAAACACACCGTTAATTTTTGTTAATTCCCTCACTGATTGTTTATTTTTTGTGTTATTTCGCAGCGAGGTGATCCAGTTCGATGAGTTTCTGAATCTGTCCCACGAGCAGGTCATCAGCCTGATTGCCAACGACCGGATCTCCGTGCCGAACGAGGAGCGCGTCTACGAGTGCGTGATCGCCTGGCTGCGGTACGATGTCCCGATGCGGGAGCAGTTCACCTCGGCGCTCATGGAGCACGTGCGCCTGCCCTTCCTCTCCAAGGAGTACATCACACAGCGCGTTGACAAGGAGCTGCTGCTCGAGGGCAACCTGGTGTGCAAGAATTTGATCATCGAGGCCCTCACCTACCACCTCCTGCCGACGGAGACCAAATCGGCCCGCACAGTGCCCAGGAAGCCGGTGGGCATGCCCAAGATCCTGCTGGTGATCGGCGGACAGGCCCCGAAGGCCATCCGTTCCGTGGAGTGGTACGATCTGAGGGAGGAGAAATGGTACCAGGCCGCCGAGATGCCCAATAGGAGGTGCCGCTCCGGATTGAGTGTCCTGGGCGACAAGGTCTACGCCGTCGGTGGCTTCAACGGCTCACTACGCGTGCGCACCGTAGATGTCTACGATCCGACCACGGATCAGTGGGCCAACTGCAGCAACATGGAGGCGCGTCGCTCGACCCTGGGAGTGGCTGTGCTCAACGGATGCATTTACGCCGTAGGAGGATTCGACGGCACCACAGGCCTCTCCAGCGCGGAGATGTACGATCCCAAGACTGACATCTGGCGGTTCATCGCCTCCATGTCCACGCGTCGCAGTTCGGTGGGTGTGGGCGTGGTGCACGGCCTCCTGTACGCCGTGGGCGGCTACGATGGCTTCTCCCGGCAGTGCCTCTCCTCGGTGGAGCGCTACAACCCGGACACTGACACCTGGGTGGCAGTGGCGGAGATGACTTCGCGACGCAGTGGCGCCGGCGTTGGTGTGCTCAACAACATCCTGTACGCCGTGGGCGGCCACGATGGTCCCATGGTCCGCAGATCCGTGGAGGCGTATGACTGTGAAACGAACTCGTGGCGCTCGGTGGCAGATATGTCCTACTGCCGGCGGAACGCGGGAGTGGTGGCTCATGACGGCCTCCTGTACGTGGTCGGCGGAGACGATGGCACCTCCAATCTCGCCTCCGTGGAGGTCTACTGCCCGGACTCGGACAGCTGGCGCATTCTGCCCGCCCTGATGACCATCGGGCGCAGCTATGCGGGCGTCTGCATGATCGACAAGCCCATGTGAATGGAAGAGCAGGGTGCATTGGCACGGTAAGAGGAGTCTTTCTTTTCCTTAACGACTTTGTGACTGATTTTTCATCCTTTGTAGACAAGCGGCTTCGCTGGCCATCGCACTGTTGGATGATGAGAACAGCCAGGCAGAGGGCACTGTGGAGGGCGCCATTGGTGGCGCGATCTACGGTAACCTGGCCCCGGCTCAGGCCCCTGCGGCGCCACCGGCTCCGGCTGCCCAGCCGCAGAATCATCCGCACTACGAGAACATATACGCGCCCATAGGCCAGCCCAGCAACAGCAACAACTGCAGCAACAACAACAGTAACCAAAATGCAGCAGCTGCCAATGCCAATGCCCCTGCAAATGCCGAGGAAGTTCAGATGCCACCTCAACCAGCACCAACTGAAGCCAATGCCAATGCCAATCCCAATGCCAACAATAATAGTAATAACAACAATAACCAATCAGCAGCAGGAGCAGTAGCACCACAACAGCAGCAGCAGAAACCACAAGCACAGCAACATCAGCCACAACCATCCCAGCAACAGCCACCTCAGCGAGTACTGCCCATGAACAACTACAGGAACGATTTGTACGATCGATCAGGAGGAGGGGGATCGCCAGGAGGTATCCTTGGGTCCAGCTCATCAGCCGCCTACGACGTTCCCAGAGCCGTGAGATCTGGCTTGGGATATCGGCGAAACTTTCGCATTGATATGCAGAATGGTAAGTAGAATTGGAACAGTTGATTAGTTGATTACTAAAAGTCTATTACTTTTACAGCAAATCGCTATGGCAATGGACTGCGCTGTGCCCCCCTCTATTCGAACAGTCGCTCCAATTGCCAGAGGCAGCGTAGCTTCGATGATACAGAGTCCACGGATGGCTACAATCTTTCCTACGGAACGGGAACCATGCGGTATGAGAACATCTACGAACAGATCCGCGATGAGCCCCTTTACCGCGCCTCTGCGGCCAACAGAGTGCCGCTCTACACTCGCCTTGATGTCCTGGGACACGGAATCGGCAGGATCGAGAGACACCTGAGCTCCTCCTGTGGCAACATAGATCACTATAACTTGGGAGGCCACTACGCTGTACTGGGGCACTCGCACTTTGGGACCGTGGGGCACATTCGGCTGAATGCCAACGGCGCCGGAAACGGAAGTGGAGGTGTTACTGGAACATCAGCCGCCAGTGCCTGCAACGTGCCAAACTGCCAGGGATACGTGGGGAGTACAGGCTCCTCGGTTCCCGTGGAATATGCCAATGTGAAGGTTCCTGTAAAGAACAGCGCCTCCAGCTTCTTCAGTTGCCTGCATGGCGAGAACTCTCAGAGCATGACGAATATATACAAAACCTCGGGTGCCCTGGCTGCTCACAACTCGCCTCTGACACCGAATGTATCCATGGAGCGGGCCGCCCGATCCGCCTCCGCTGGAGCTGCCGGAACAGCTCCCGAAGAGCCACCCCAGCCCGAAAATGGGGCTTTGACCGCAAGTGGTAGCACCAATAGGCCCACAGGCGCCATTCCAAAGGTGAAATCAAAGACGCCCAAGGAAAACGGATCTTCCACTGCCGGATCCTCAACAGCCGCAGAGAAAAGTGTAGCCACTGGAGCTGGTAAAAGTGGAACCCTGGCCAAGAAGACTGCTTCCGCCTCGGGAGACGCCAATGGAACCTTGAATCGCATCTCAAAGTCGAGCTTGCAGTGGCTTTTGGTCAACAAGTGGTTGCCATTGTGGATTGGCCAGGGTCCTGATTGCAAGGTGGGAATAAAATAAAAAATAATTCATGTAAATATTTATCTAAAATGTTTATCCTTTCCAGGTGATCGACTTCAACTTTATGTTCTCGCGCGACTGCGTCAGTTGCGACACTGCATCCGTGGCCTCGCAGATGTCGAATCCTTATGGAACGCCCCGTTTGGGTGGGCTGCCCCAGGACATGGTCCGATTCCAGGGCTCCTCCTGCGCCGGAGGCTGTGGCGCTACTTCCACCATGGGAAGGAGGGAGAACGGTGGATCTAATCGGCCCCTGCACAGCACCTTGAGTCGCCTGAGGAGTGGAGCAGAAAAACGGAACCAGGGGGCAGGGGTGGTGGGTAACTATCGCTACGAGGATCCCTCCTACGAGAATGTCCACGTGCAGTGGCAAAACGGGTTCGAGTTTGGGCGATCCCGAGACTACGATCCCAATCCCAACTACGCGCAGCAACGACCCATGTTGCAGAGGGCCAGATCGGAGAGTCCCACCTTCAGCAACCAGCAGAGGCGTCTCCAAAGGCAAGCGGCTCAAGCTCAACAGCAACAGCAATCAAAGCCTCCTGGGTCACCGGATCCCTTCAAGAACTACAAACTAAATGCGGAGAATAATAGTTTCAAGCCGAAGGTGGTCGAGGAACTGGAGGGAGCAGTCGGTGGGGCACTGGTGGAGAAGGCTGCATCGCCAGAAGTTGACCTGGAAGCCGTGGATCCCGTGAACTTGAGTGATAATGAGACTGAGACAACCAGCAGCAGTCCGAACAACCCTCCAGGCTCAAACAACGTTCATGAGCAGAACGAATAAAAGGGGAATACATTTTCCAACAAAGACTACCATTAGATATCCGATAATCCGATTAATTGGCATACGCTGCTCTTCGAAATTAGATCTCACACAAACGAAATGAATCGACCAAATCAAAAACTGGAGGAAATTTTGAATCAAATTTCAAGGAAAAAGCCACTCTGGCAGCGAGGAGTTTGCTATTTATATTGTATAACGATCGAATATTATGTTGCATTCTGTAGTTGTGTAGTTGAAACGAATACTTTTGTGTGTCATGTCGCGTTATATAGTCTATAGTCGTAAGAGCCATATCATATCCGCGTAGAATCCATAAGCAATATGCATTTGAAATACGAATATGGTTTGAAAGTTCCGTCTCCTATTTCACTGCCCATCTCGAATTATTTCCATTATTTTGTTAGCGTTACCATGCACATTGGCTTTAAGGCGAAAATTAAGTTTAAAGTAGAATTCTCTGCGTTAGAAACCTATTGTTTAAGTCAATTAGAGTTACAGGTATTATTTACACGCATCTATATATATATATTCAAGCGCATATGCAATAATCCAAAAGTGGTACATTCAACATATATAATTGTAGAACATACTTACACGTGTATTGAGTTTAACTAATTCATAATAAACCAAAATAGTTCAACGACAGCAGGAGTGGCCTTTTCTCTGGAAGGTTTTCGGTTTTATTTTAACAAACTATTATAAAATTGGATGCTTTGTTCTCATTGCTTCTTGTCCATATACACAGATACATTAAATATCAATATCGTTAAATTAAAAAATACAATATCTGTTCGGTAATATACTCGTATTCGTAGATACATATATCTCGCCACGCTCCCGTCCGCTGCCACTAAGCCGCTGACTACCCTTTTCGATTTCTCCGATTAATTCGATTAATCCGATTTCCGCGATCTAGCCGATATGTTTGACGCTATGCCCCTCAAATGGATAGACTCAAAAAAGCATAAACACCGATGAGCTCTAACTGGAATACCATACGTATATGTCTATATTTTGCTGAAATTTCGATTCTAATTCGTAATATTCGAGTATTGGTATTAATTTTTGGCTGAAATTTCTCGCTATGTCTACAAGCCTTTGTCTAAATCGCTGATAATTCCATTAGGATAGGTGTCTCATATATACGCCCTATATGTCGTTGCTGTTGCTGTTAAAGTGTTTCGATTTGGATTCGTTTTATTTAAACTTAAAATGTACACAAGTAACTATAAACTAGACTACAGAAATGCTTTAAAAATTAGCCCAGAACTATACAAAATCGCTTATAGCGCCGCCCACTCATTCTCCGTCAACTCTCACTCAACCCGCAGATCAGTTGCAAAAAAAATGATACATATTTTTAATATATCGCTCCTCGATCGGGAGGATAGTTCAAGCGATCGAACCTAAACTCGTCAAGTTTCGAAAATAATGTTCAACTTGGGGTATCCACTACTGAGAACTGAGACTGTATCCCTCCCCTAGATACTAGAATTCAAAACGTTCCGCTTGAGCTACTTTCACTGTCGGGACTCGGGGCTCGGGTCCCAGGACACGACCCATTCCGCTGTCTACTTGGGCAACTCGTAGATCTGGACGGGCAGCGCCTTGGGCGTGATGATCTCATCCTCGAAGTCCTCGTCGTCGCCGTGGATGGCGTAGTCTCCGCCGTTGTGCTCCCCCTCGAACTCGTTGGGCACTATTTCCACGTCGCTGGGCCGCGAGGTGCTCCGGGATCCTCCGCCGCCAGAGTCGCTGCCGTGCCGGTTGGATCTCGTCTTGGTCGACTTGCTGACAAAATCGCGCAGCATGTGCGAGTACAGGATGTCGTCCAGGTAGTACATGGTGCCCAGGTTGTAGACAAACACCTCGCTCTCCGTGATCTGGGCGTTGTTCACGCTCGTGTAGTTGCTTCCCGGGTTGCGGGTGATCTTTATGTGTCCTCCACCGATCGTCTCGAACACCTCATTGTCGCGCAAATCCCGGTTGTAGAGCCGACCCTTGACAAAGTGATTCAGTAGCATCTTGACACCGCGTTGTGAGCCCTTCAAAATTTAATTTTCAGCAAAACTTTCAGTATTTTCCGATTTTGTACTTACCATAACCTCATCGGAGAGTCGGTCAAAGCCCAGCTTTTCAAAGGCTCGATCTTCCGGCACAAAGAAGGTGTAGTTGGCACCGGAAATATGGGGGGCAATCTCAGCATTGTTTAGATATCTAAGGGGGATATATAATCAAATCTCTGGTTATCCAAAAAAGTATTTTAAAAACCTGGTTATCTGTGAGAACCGCGGATCTCTCTCAAGAGCCAAGAACGAGTGGGACAGGAACTGGGCTCCAAACCAAGGGAATGCCAGCAACGGAGGAGTCTCCTTGTCCTTGTGCATCTGTTATGGAAAGAAGTACGACATATAAATAAATAATCAAAAAAACAAACAAATTTTTATTTATTTTCCAGGGGACTCCCTTGGATTTTAAAGATAAAATGGCGCCATATGTGTCTCAGAACGATTTATATGACTTTTCCAATTTTCATCCATTCCTTGAACGGAATACCTTAATTCACTCAATTAAGTAATAAATCAATACGAATCAATTCTTCCGGTGAAGAATTGGGGAAGAAATAGCCATCATAGTGGACCCTATAGGGGAAAACCCCATTTTCAAGGGATCCCATCACGAAAATGGTTAAAAAATCTAAAAAATATTTTCTAAAATCTAATCTAAAAAAATATAAATCACAAGATTTGGATGCAGAATGATGGAGAATCGATCTAGAAATCGTTTAAGGTCTCCGCTTGAGAATCGGTTAAGAATTGGGGAAGATACAGCCATCACAGTGGACCCTATAGGGGAAAACCCTATTTTCAAGCTATTCCCTCACGAAAATGGACAAAAAATCTAAAATATATTTTGTCACAGGATTTTGATGCAGAATGGTGGAGAATCGATCTAGAAATCGTTTAAGGTACTCCGCTTGAGAATCGGTTAAGAATTGGGGAAAATATAGCCATCACTGTTTGCCTTATAGGGGTCTATATCGTATATATGCTGAATAACTGCTCAGTATTTCAATCAGAGATTCGTTGAAACTATGAGGAAACTCAAACCTTTCCTTGAAAATAAAAGAGGATTGTGGGGCGTTGGACTTACCTGATGCAACTTGGAGACCACTGCTTCCGTGACAAAGAGCACCTCGGAGATGATAAACACCTGATTGCCGTTCGAGAGCTGGTAGTCGGACATAATGGTCACATTATTCACCGTGGGCGTAGCTGTGGAACAGAGATGGGAGGAAGTACCACATGCCGATGTCATAAATTGAGTTTTGGAATGTAATTTATGCTTCGCCACTTACGCTGGCCATGGAAGACGACATCCTCCCCGCCGAGGGAGTGGACGACCACCTCGTCCATGTTCCGGACGTCGGCGAGCCGTAGGGGGCGCTGCATGGGGAGGAAGTGGTTGCGGAGCACCGACTCCGTGAACTCCGGCACGCTGAACGGATAGAAGCCCCAGTCGATGGGGTGCCAGCGCTGGAAGGCGTTGTCAGACGGAATCAGGACCGTGTACGCGTTGTCGTCCATTATCCGGGTCAGATTGCTCTTGGAGAGAAAGTGCTGAAAGACCTTTGTCCCTGTCTTCATGTTGCCTAGGAAGGACATCAGCGGACTGGCCTTTGACTCCTTGATGACGGGCTCCACCTTGGCGTGGGCATTCGTGATGTTCGGCTGCTCCAGCGGCTGGGGGTCGTTGTAGCGACTGTGTAGTACACAGAAAAGAATCAGTAACTACGTTTTGGAATTTGTGGATTATAGAGAGTCAATATTGCCCAATACCCACTCTAGATGGGAGAAACTTTCAAGGAGATGGTAATGATGATGGCACTTGGTGGCGAGATTATGACCATAGATTGGGCTAGAGACACGCCGAGCGACCTCGGTCGAAAGTGGGGAACAGGAAAGCCACAAAGTGGGGGCGGGAGTGTGCGCGAAAAGTTGGACCAGCAGAAACTTTCCTTTCCGCCTGATAAATTTCGCATGAGTGCACTTTTGACCGCATACGAACTAGGACTAACAACTTGGCAAGCCTCTACAGTGGTTTTACATAATTTTTAATACAAATTAGTAAAGGTTTTCTTTATTTTAATCCCCATTTTAAAGTATTAAAATAAGGACAACAAACGGGTTATTTGAATTGGAGCATTTGGATACTTTATCTTAAAACCACTTTCGTCAATTCACCCCATTGTGAAGCGATTTTGGTGTCCTTAGTCCTTAGTACTCACTTGTTCGTTTCCTGTATGTTCCGCTTGGAGTAGGGCGACTTCCTATCGCCCAAATAACCATCGATTGCAATGGCCATCAGGTTCTCATTGATACGCAGCTTATAGAGTATTTGCTGCCCATTGAGTAGCCAAACATTGTTGTGGGATTTTTCCAATTTACGGAAAACGATTTTGTGTCCGTTCCCATTGCCGAAGGACTCCTCCTCCTCCTTGCTGTTGCCCACTCCGCTGTAGCTATCATAGATTTTTCCGGGCACCAAGTGCTCCAACATGAACTCCTTCAGTCGCGGCTTCTCGATGCTCCGGACATCGATTTTGGGCACAATCAGAGTGTACGGAATGTCTGCGGTCGGAGTGTCCAGATAGCCACATGCAAAGATAGATGGATTGATACATTTGTTAGTACGTGTGTGGTATGCATGGCAGTGTGGTAACAGAGGGGGGAATTGCTCACTTAAAAATGTAAACTGTTTTCGTTCATTTACGGCTAAGTGCTGGCACTCGGCTCTCCTGTATCCCCTACCTGTCTGCATGCTAATCAAGTAATTAACGCGGGCCTAGTCGCTTTTTTCCTGGGCGTGTAGTCTGGGGAATTTCGTGGTACTAATTAAATTTTTTTATTATGCTGCCCGCATGAGAAGGTGTGTCAGAAGGCATTTTTTATATGCCCTACCAGATATATAACCCAGCAAATTATACCTGAAAGCAAGTACGCTACTCTCTATAGTAAATATACACCCGAAAAGGGTCACTTTTTGGTAAACTCTTAACTTAAACTCTAACTGGTAACATTTACCTTGCAACTTTGTTGCCAAAATATAGTCTTTTAACTGAATCTTATGGACTACGGTTGATGCTTTTGTGCCTATTCGTTCATCAACTGCAACATAGCTTGATAACATATTAATATCAATAATTACATTTATAACCATAACTTATATCAGTGGCTTTCACACCCGTTCTCCCCCTCTTTTAGGTGCATCAAGTACTTTTGTTTATGATCAACATTTCGACAGCTGAATGAAGTAATTTATCAAAGTCACACGTATCCATTTTGCATTTTCGGAGTTGACGAGCTGTCTCTTATTTCCTGGGAGTCAGTTGCGCCATGTCCTGTCTAACGAGGGTTCTGCAGGTGTTGCAAGTGTTGACAACGCTCTCCGGTTGCAACATCTACCAATATATAGAAAGCGAGCGGCGCCCGTTCCAACTGAACCAGAATCTGTATAGGATAGTGGGGGCGCTGCACAGATTTTGGCTAGGACCCTGGCTAATTTTTATGTTTCTTCGTCATTTGATAAATCTTCTGTTGGATTTCCTCGTGGGATTATCGGAGTATTCCGCCAACAACAAGATTTCTGTGAATTTAGTGTATAAAGTGGAAAACGTCGCCATAATGTATCAGAACTTCATCATCAGCGTGGCAATATACTATAATTACAGGTCTCTCATTCCACAATCTAATTGAAATTCTAATCAAATATTATATTAATCCTTTTTAGATGTCGTATTGATCGGTTAAAACTAATGCTCGATGAGTTCTGTAGGATGTACCACCAATATTCGCAGATCTGCGGCCAGAAAGTCAAAATAAATTGGTTGCATACACTTCTACCGACCATACGAATGATCAATTGTAGTGTATTGCCTTTAACATATCCAATGATTGTAAATTTTGGCCAACTCAAATTTTTAATGGAGATTTCGGCATTACTTTTCCTGTGCATCCAGCCCCTTTTGCTTTCTCTGGTGGCCAATATGGGCTTTTTGATAATATATTGTTTCTACGGAATTGACTATAAAACTAGTCCTGGAAAAGAAGTCCTACTCTTTAGTTTTTATAGAAACCTGATAAAGCTGAGACAAGACTTTGATAAATTTTTCAGGCCCTTTGTCTGGGCTGGTTTTCTAGAGTGTTTTACGGTTTTTGCTACCGCTTATCATATGGAACTCTACGACCAGCATTTAGTTCATAAATTTTTTAAAAACCTATTACTGATTTCACTATGGCCTTTGAACTTTTTTTATATTACCACATCTATCAGTGAAATGGAGAGAAAGGTTGGCCGCTTAAGGTTTAACTCTAGACCACAACGTCAGGTTAGAGATCATTTATCCTTAATGTTTTAGTAGTAATAATGTATTTCCTTAAAATCATTCCAGCACCAATTGTTTTGGCTTTACAGACAAGTAATGATTATAGCAGTGGATAAAAATATATTTAACGTGTTTCGTCCAGATCGGAAGATGCTTCTAGAGATGTTGAGCCTCGGATGGGTCATAGCCATGTTTACTAATAGTCTTTTGGTTAACAGCAAAGCCGGAAAGATCCTTTGAATGGTGTGAATTAAATCAAGACATATTAGTAAAGCTTTTATGAAGTTATAAAACTATTTGGCAGAATGTTTCCAATTTTATTTGTTATAAATTCACGACTGTTTTTACGTACCTATAATTATTGGTTTTTCAATTAATTCCCATCATACCATTTATAACCATAACACCTCTGAATGACTTTCCCATTCGGTTCCCCCTCCACTGGATGCATCAAGTGCTTTTTGTTATGATCAACACTTCGACAGCTGAACGAAGTCATTTATCAACGTCGCACATTTTCACTCTGCCAAATTTTGGAGTTTTCCGAGCTGTCTCTTGGGTGTTTTTTTGTTCCTGGGAGTCAGTTGCGTCATGTCCTGTCTAACGAGCGTTCTGCAGCTGTTGCAAGTGCTGACAACGCTCTCGGGTTGCAACATCTTCCAATTCGTCAAAGGAGAGCGGCACCAGTTCGCGATGAACCGGAAGCTCTATAAGCTGGTGGGAGTGCTGCACCGATTCTGGCTGAGGCCCTGGCTGTTTCTAATGCTGTTCTATTATTTATTGAACATCCTGTGGGAGTTTCTTTTGGGATTATCGGACTACTCCCCCAACAGCATGAAGTCTCTGAACCTAGCGTATAAAGTGGCCATGGCCGCCACTCTTAACCAGAACTTTATCATTACCCTGGCCATATACTATAACTACAGGTCTTTAATTATGTAAAATTGTTAAGAAACTACACTCAACTCTAAGCAAGTCCTTTACAGATATCGCACAGATCGGCTGCAACTTGTGCTAAACCAGTTCGCGTGGATGTATCAACAATATTTCCTAATCTGTGGCCAGAACGTCTCAGTAAATTGGTTCTTCACAATTTTACCAACAATAAGAATGATTGTAGCAAGTGTGATGCCCCTAGGAAGTACGTCACTTGTGAAATTCAGACAAATTTCAAGTTTAGTGCGGTTTTCGATATTGCTATTTGTGTGCATTCAGCCGCTTCTTCTGTCTCTGGTGGCCACTTTAGGGGTTTTAATTGTTTATGGATTTTACGGCATCCAGGAAAAAAAAGTTTCCAGAAGAAAGCTGTTAATGTTCGGCTTCTACAGAAACCTCATAAAGCTAAGACAAGACTTTGACCATCTGATTAGGCCCTTCGTTTGGGCGGCTTTGTTGGAGAGCTGCGTCCTTTTCGCGAGCTCTTTTCATATACAACTCTACGATCAGTCATCGGCTTATAAGTTTTTCAAGAACCTACTACTGAGCTCACTGTGGCCTTTGGGATTTTTTTACATCACGACATCTATCAGTGAAGCGGAGAAAAAGATTGGCCGGTTTAGAGCCAACTTTAGGCCACAGCGTCAGGTGAGATCCTATTTCTTATAAACAATATCAGGTTCTGAATCCCCTTATCTACAATTTCCAGCACCAATGGTTTTGGCTTTACCGGCAAGTAATGTATATGGCAGTGGATAAAAACAAACTCAATGTCTTTCGTCTGAATCGGAGAACACTTCTGGAAATGTTGAGTCTTGGATGGGTTTTAGCGATGTTTACAAACAGTATTATGGTTAATAGTAAAGCCGGGATAGAGCACTTGAAAAATATAAATAAAGTAAAGACAAATTGAGGTACTGTACTATATATAAAGATTTTGAGATAATTGGTAATACACTCCAGACTGTTTTGTTCTAACTGATTTTGGAATTTATAGAAAAAACAAACTAATGTTGGCTTTTCAATGAATACCCATAATACCATTTATAAGCAAAACACTTACTTTGCGCCCCTTCTGTTGCATGCATTAAGTATTTTTTGTTTATGATCAACATTTGGACAGCTGAGCGAAGTCATTTATCAACATCACGCATTTCCATTTTGGCCTTTTTTGGAGTTTTCCGAGACAACTCTTAGCTGTTTTTGTTTTTCCTGGGAGCCAGTTGCGCCATGTCCTGTCTAACGAGCGTTTTGCAGCTGTTGCAAGTTCTGACAACGCTCTCGGGTTGCAACATCTACTATTACGTAAAAGGCAAGCGGCGCCCGTTCCAGCTAAATCAGAATCTTTTTATAATAGTGGGAGCTCTGCACCGATTCTGGCTAATACCCTGGCTAATTCTGATGCTATTCCGTAATCTATCGAATCTCATGTTGGAGTTCCTCATGGGACTGTCGGAGTATTCCCCCAAGAGCATGATTTCTTTGGATGTGATGTATAAAGTGGAAAGAGCCGTGATATTGTATCAGAACTTTATCATCACCATCGCAATATACTATAATTACAGGTTTATAATTTCACAGTCTCATTGAAAGTTTAATCAATTTTTCAATAATTCCTTTTTAGATATCGCTCTGATCGTTTGAAACTTGTGCTCAATGAGTTCCATAGGATGTACCGGCAATATTTCCACATCTGCGGTCAGAAAGTGAAAATAAATTGGTCTTATGCACTTTTACCAACAATACGGATGATCAGTGCAAGTGTTATACCTTTAACAAGTCCCAAGATTGTGAAATTCGGGAAAGTCGCAGTTTTTATGAAGATTTCGACCTTACTCTTTGTTTGCATTCAGCCCCTACTTCTGTCTCTTTTGGCCAACTTGGGTGTTTTGACAATTTATTCTTTTTACGCAATTGAGTACAAAACTGATCCTAAAAAAAGGTTCTTACTCTTTAGTTTTCATAGAAACCTGATAAAGCTGAGACAGGACTTTGATCTATTTCTCAGGCCATTTATCTGGTCTGGATTACTAGAGTGTTTCATGATCTTCGCTGGCTCTTTTCATATGGAACTCTACGACCAGCATTTAGCTTATCATTTTCTAAAGAACTTATTACTGACTTCATTATGGCCTCTGAGCTTTTTTTATATAACGACATCTATCCATGAAAGGGAGAGAAAGTTTGGCCGCTTAAGATTTAACTCCAGGCCACAACGTCAGGTAAGAGATCATACACCCGAACTATTCAAGAGGTTTCCAGACCTTTCCTTTCATTATTTGCAGCACCAGTTGTTTTGGCTTTACCGACAGGTAATGTTCAATGCAGTGGACAAAAATAAGTTGAATGTCTTTTGCCTGAACCGGAAAACCCTTTTGGAAATGTTGAGTCTCGGGTGGGGCCTAGCCATGTTTACAAATGGTCTTATGGTTAATAGTAAAGCCGGGATAGAGCACTTGAAAAATATAAATAAAATAAAGACAAATTGAGGTGCTGTACTATATATAAAGATTTTGACATAATTGGTAATACACTCCACACTGTTTTGTTGTAACCAATTTTGGAATTTTTAGAAAAAAAACCAACTGTTATTGGTTTTTCAATGAATACCCACAATACCATTTAAAAGCACCACACTTACTTAGCCACTTGCGCCCCCCTCTTTTGCATGCATTAAGTATTTTTTGTTTATGATCAACATTTGGACAGATAGCGAAGCCATTTATCAACATCACGCATTTCCGTTTTGGCCATTTTCGGAGTTTTTCGAGACAACTCTTAGCTGTTTTTTTTCCTGGGAGTCAGTTTCGCCATGTCCTGTCTAACGAGCGTTTTGCAGCTGTTGCAAGTTCTGACAACGCTCTCGGGTTGCAACATCTACTATTACGTAGAAAGCAAGCGGCGCCCGTTCCAGCTAAATCAGAATCTTTATATAATAGTGGGAGCGCTGCACCGATTCTGGCTAATACCCTGGCTAATTCTGATGCTATTCCGTAATCTATCGAATCTCATGTTGGAGTTCCTCATGGGACTGTCGGAGTATTCCCCCAAAAGCATGATTTCTTTGTATGTGATGTATAAAGTGGAAATAGCCGTGATATTGTATCAAAACACTATCATCACGGTCGCAATATACTATAATTACAGGTCTCTAATTCCACAATTTCATTGAAACTCCAAACAAATAAAATTTGACCTTTTTAGATATCGCTCTGATCGTTTGAAACTTGTGCTCAATGAGTTCCATAGGATGTACCGGCAATATTTTCACATCTGCGGCCAGAAAGTGAAAATAAATTGGTTTTATGTAGTTTTACCAACAATACGGATGATCGTTGCAAGTGTTATACCTTTAACAAGTCCCAAGATTGTGAAATTCGGAAAAGTCGCAGTTTTTATGAAGATTTCGATATTACTCTTTGTTTGCATTCAGCCCTTTCTTCTGTCTCTGTTGGCCAATTTGGGTGTTTTGATAATTTATTCTTTTTACGGAATAGAGTACAAAATTGATCCTAGAAAAAGGTTCTTACTCTTTAGTTTTCATAGAAACCTGATCCAGCTGAGACAAAACTTTGATATATTTCTCAGGCCCTTTGTCTGGGCTGGTTTACTAGAGTGTTTCATGATTTTCGCTGGCTCATTCCATATGGAACTCTACTACCACCATTTAGCCTATCATTTTTTAAAGAATTTTTTACTGACTTCACTTTGGCCTCTGAGCTTTTTTTATATAACAACATCTATCCATGATATAGAAAAAAAGTTTGGCGGCTTAAGACATAACTCCAAGCCACAACGTAAGGTGAGGATCATACACCCGAACTATACAAGAGGTTTCCAGACCTTTCCTTTCATTATTTGCAGCACCAGTTGTTTTGGCTTTACCGACAGGTAATGTTCAATGCAGTGGACAAAAATAAGTTGAATGTCTTTCGCCTGAACCGAAAAACCTTTCTGGAAATGCTGAGTCTTGGGTGGAGCTTAGCCATGTTTACAAATGGCGTCTTGGTTAATAACATTGCCGGAATAGAGCACTTTAAAGGTACAAACAAAAATAAGAAAGCTGATATGCTTTTTAAAAAGAAATAAAATTTGAAAATGTTTAAAATTTTTTTTAAAGCTGAACACACTGTTTTTTACTTACCCGATTTTGGCTTATAGCCGTACAATTCGAGGACGGGAAACCCATCGTCGATGAACCGGTAGACCGGCTGCCACTTTTCGTCCTCCTGCTGGCTGCGTGACAGGCTGCCCAAGTCGGGGAGCACTTTGCTCTCAATCAGCTTGGCATTCTTCAGACTGGCATCGATTCCGGTTGGCGATGTTGCAGCTGCGTCTGTGGCAGCTGCAGCAGCAATTTGGAGCACCAGCGACAGCAACACCAATGTTGCCAGCGGCACTTGCAACATTTTGCGCGACATTCGGGTTTTGGGCTGCTCGCTTTGATTTTGTTTGATTTTCTTGATGTTGTGTGCTTTTGTTTTGCAGCTCTTGTTGTTCGTTAGCGAATTGGGGAAATATTTTTAATTGCTAGCAGCTAGCACTTTTGGAGAGTTTGTCGGTTTGTTTGAGGTTGTTATTTTCTTCGAGTTGTTGCCACTTGTTTCCCAGTTGTTGGGCTGTTCAGTTCTGCTTCAGTTTTTGCTTGTGTTTTTTGATAGTTTTACGGTACCACGAGTTTATTCATTTTTCTGTTGAGTTTGTGTGCTTGTCTTTGGTGAAGAGAAGCTTTACATAATTGTCAAGAGCTGAGGAGGAGAAGGGGCTGGTTTTGATTAGTTTGCAAACTTTAAAACCTATTGAAATTCCAGGCGTTGCCTGCGCGACTTAATGCGGGTATTCGAGTGTTTTGTATGCAAATCGCATCGCATTTTTCGTCTTCTATAAATACATAGGCAGTATAAGTATATTGAATAGATTCTGCCGGCCTGAGTTCATCACGACGGGATTTGCATTTGCAGTCTTTTCCCGGGGAAAAGCCCACCCAAAAGGGCGGTTACCATCGAAATGGGATGCAAATCAGCCGATGTATATCGGGAATAGCTTCGTTTTGCGCATTTCTAGTCGAGGTATATGGTTTCGAGTCGTTTTGCACACAAATCGTGGCTGGACAATAAACCATAATGTGCGACAATTTGTTTATTTGCTGACCTCTGGGCGCGGATCTGATCGCATACAAGGCTGTTCGCCCAGCGGCATGTGCACCCACACAGACGGAGATACAGATACGGATAAGAGCTACATTTACTGTGTGAAGAAAGTAAATTATTTTCAATTGAAGCTGACAAACTAGATGGCCAGCTACGGCGTAAATAAATCCAGCACTCGGATAAAAGAAACCTGTAACAAACACTTTGCGACCAAAAGAAGAGCTTCCAATTTATACTTTTCCACCGAATCCGGAAACTGGGCACTGTGTGTGTGGTTTTGCACCTTTGGTGCGCTTTTAGCGACCTGATTTGCTGCGATTCCCGCTTCGATTTATACTGACAGTTCCCAAGGTGGCCGGGTCCCCTCGGACCTGGATTAAAAGACCTGGGAATGGAGATCACAAAAGGTTTGGCAGGTGCCCAGTGGAAAATGGAACGACGAAGGCTTTGTGAAAGCCTCGGTCTCTGGAGGATAACCTGCTTTATACCCTGTAATCAGTCTTAATGCAAAGAGGGCCTCCTATTTTGACACTAACTGAAGTTAGTCCTTTTAAATATAAACTCCAACCAATCTCAGCATTCAACAATCCATGCAAATTGTTCCCCCCTCTACTCCGATGAAAAACAATTTCCATCACATTCGAATTCCCTGTGCATTTGCCACTGGGCATTTATCACTTATCACAAACGCTCATTATTCATGATTATGCTTTGGCTTTTGTGCAAAATTGTGCAACTACCGCCGCAGTCCCGGCTCCCATGGACTTCTGGCGGGCTGTCTGGTCTGTCACTGGTTTCCCATTATGGCGGAACTCCCCTCCATCTGTCCCAGTCCCAGTCCCAGTCCCGTTCCCATTTCAAAATTATACACATAGGGAAATGGTATGGTTATAAAATGGTAAAAGAACTATAATATGGAATCCTAGAACTTTAATACTGATAGTAAAGTTTTCCTATATTTCAAAGCATTTCTCAACGCTACGAAGATTGTTCTCAGTGTAATGTCTCCAGCCTCCAGACTGGCAGCAATTGCTGTGATTGTGCTGACGAGGTTTTGTGGCCGAGCTTCAGCATCAGCATCTGAGAGCCTGAAGCGGCGACTGACTTTCCGACCGACTGCTGCACTATATATAGTACCGACTATATAGTATATATATACCCGTAAGTAAATGTTGTCTTGCCCTGTTACAACTTTGTATTTTTGGCTTCTTTTCGAGCCGCATTGTGTGAGTGCGAGTGCTTGTGTGCTTTTTAATGAGAGTCTCGTGCAGGCCTCCTTCGTTGTGGGGAGCCGACATTATTGTAATTGATATTATTGTCATGCGGCAGGTTTATTTATACAGCCAGTCGGCTTTTTAATAAGCATCGTTCGGGCCTATGCTGCTGCATTTTATATGACGCTCCGAATGGGCATTCAGTTACATTTTTATGACGTTTAAATTCCGCATTTTATTGGAGCCTTTTTGTGGGCTCTCATAAATATGCAAGTGGGTCTTGCAATACACTTTGTGGAAAAAGTAAGAGTTGCAGTTATCGGAATCAGCTTCAATCAGCTTCAGTTTATAATTGAATGCTCATCTGACGGGCTGACAGCTGAACTTTCCGTCAAGTCTGATGAACTATTTAGAAAATTACCCATCGAAAGGTGAACTTAAACGACTAGTAATTGCCGTCTCTGGAATAGTTTTCCGGGTATTCTGGGCGCCTTAAACACGAGCTTCCCTGGCTCACTTTTTAATTACTTTTCCATGTGAAGCTTGCCAAGTTTTGCCCAGCTCGTCCTGTTTTATTTTTTGCGAGCAGGTAGCATTCTTGTGTGATTAAGAAATTCTTGGGAAACAATTCTCCGGGACGGAGCTGGGAGCACGGGGAAAAGCCGGTAAGTCCGGTGGAGCACACACTTGTTATGCAGTGCGGAAAATTAAACGTCGGTTGCCCGAATTTGTGTATCCGAAAACAGGAAAACAACGCAGTCGGTCGGATGTTTGTAGTTTGTAGTACTACTACTACTGCTAGTACTACTACTACTACTACTAGTAGTTGTATCGGAATACTACAACACAACAAGAAGAGCAACAGCAGCAACAGAAACATCCGCAGGAACAGCAACATCACAAGCAGCAGCAGCAACAATAAACAGAGAGCCAGAGTCCAGAGTGCAAACCAATTGAAATTAATTTGCATAATATAAATCTGGACATTCAGCAATAGAATGGAACAGAATCCGCTTTCCCTCCACCGGCCCTAGCCACCTCTACCGCCACGCCCCCGCGATGCACAAGCCGCTAATTCTGGGATTATTCACAGTTTATTGCACTTAGTTTTCTTGCACAAAAAGTTCTTTCTCTGCGCCACTTTCCCCCACCGGACACCGGACCGACACTTTTCACTTTGTCCGATGCCTTTATATTTTCTATTTTCCATTTTCCGCTTTCCCTGTTTTTAGTAGTCACTCATTTTCGTGGGGAATTTGAATTTGAATTTAAATTGGATTAGTTTTGTGTTTTTTAGTGGTCTCTTTGATAAGTTCTTGCTGGCTTTTCCTTTATTTCTGCTTTCACTAGAATTTACTTTCCGCTCTACGTAGCAGGCGCGGTGCCTCGGCAAATGTTGCGTCTGTTGTGCCGGAAAATTGACGACGAATTGAGAGCTTTCGCTTCAGTCGGTGCTTTAGGGCTCCTTGGCGGTGGTTCAGGGTTGCCAGGTTTTCTAAGGGAAAATTGTACTAGAGGAAATGCATGTACAGCTAACCAATTCAATAGTCTGAAGCCATTTTTTCAGTAAATACTCTTTATTAATTTATTTATTGGGTCTTTGGTATGACAACGGTAGCTAAGACAGGTTTTAATAAATATTAGTAGCTTTTTACAGAGAAAAGCTTATAAGCTCAAGCTTTCAAGAAATTGTCTCGTCAAGTTCAGACACAAACCAAGTTCAGATATTACGTATACGTATAAATATACGTAGAAACTATTTTTAAAATTTGTGAAAATTTTAAACCTTGTCCCAATGAATATTCCTATTTAATTCTTTTGATTTTATAAATCTTAAGGTTTTCAAATAAAATTTAATTTTATAAACACATTCTATTACTATAATATATAAATATTTAGTTATACCAGTGTGAAATAAATTACAAGGTTTTATTAAAAAACAAACACTACATTTTCTTCAATAACAAATTAATCAAGTATACGCCCCGTACACGCACCCATATTAAATCGGGATAACAAGACATTAACACATGGAACAGCACTTGAATGGCAATTATTAACACATTAACAGGTCGCTACATGCCGGATTTATTTGCACAATTCATAATTATAATGTGCAGGCATCATTGGTAGGCGACACGTGACAGTAAAAACAATATAAATAATAAAATACGCGCCAGCAATTTGTTTACGGTCCGCAAACACAAAAACATTGAATGCGTAATGTATAAAAATAAAGAACACCATACGCCGGCGGATGGTGTCGATACAACAACACTATTAAATGTCAAATTAATTTTCATGCTATTAAATGCAGCAAGTACTGCTAAAGTAAATAAACACAGTTGAGTAAAACAAATAGAGAACAATCAAACGCAAGGACACGACTTGGCCCAGAATCAAAGCGGCCAATTCAAGGTTTCGCAAACAAAGAGATGCGAAAACAGGACTCGGGCCAAATGAAAGCAAAACACAGACCCGGGCAAAAAAATGTGCATAAATATGCGACTGGATTAAAGTCTTAGGAGTCGTCTGAAGAGTGCACACATGGTCGGACTGTGAAAACGAATAAATATGGCTATACAATTTATCCAGACGGAGTCCTGGAGTGGAAGCCCATAGAGCGGAGGCTGCTCTTTTATTTGGCAACATGTATTTACATAGATTTACATTGAAAACACTTTAAGGCCCGGCCAATCAACGCTGGCAGTGGCAGCAGAGCAGGGCCGAGTCCTGGAGGCTCTGCTAGCTTAGCCCAATTGTCCTGGCCCGAAAAATGGTTAAATGACATGAAAGACCGATGCCCCTTGGCCCGAAAACAAAAGTGCAACGAGGTCGTCCAACACACACATAATGGCAGCAACACCACAGATTCACACGCATTCAAGCAAACTTTGTGGTTAAAACTAAAGTGGCCTTTTTAGCATTCAACAAATAAAAAAAAGGGCCAAAAGAAGTATAGAAATGTGGCTGGGACAAAAGTGTCCAAAAAGTTGCCTTCTCATCTGCATTTGGCCACAGTTTTCGTTTTTCAGCTTCTTTTATTTTGTTGGCCTCTTTTTTAATATTTCAACACAATTTCTGCATTGCAATGGCAATGGATTTTGGCCAACAGGAGGAGCGGCCCGACCGGAGGACTTTGTGGTAATTTATGCATGCTGTTTGCCTTCTCTTGACTCCTGGCTTTGCTGGTCTAGAATAAATAAGAGATGTCAGAAAAATGCTTTGACAAGCTCGTTACTTTGCTTATAAACTCTATTTACGGCCAGGAAGTAACAGTGAAAGTTTTTAAAAATTGGAAATAAAACTAACCAATATATATCTATTTTTTTATCGAGTTGGGAAAAGGCACAGTAACACAGTAACTCACGGCACTTTCGGCAGCTTGATCCTTAGTTGGCTCAGCTCTGAGCGCCCTCCCGGTCGGTCTTAACTAAAATTATCACCAGCCAGCCGGGCTTCAAGGCCTCATGGCCTGGCCAATTGCGAAGCATAGTCAGTCAGGGGCTTATCACTGAATTGGCAGTTAGACTTAATTGAATATTCAAATGGGTGCTGGCAAGGACTCGGCCTGATGAACCACTTTCCCAGCTCGGCTTTAATTCCATTGAAAACATTTTGCAACAATTTTAATACATTTAAATTCTCTTAAATTATGCCTTTTAATTGAAAGCAGTGTTATTTTTATTAATGTGGTCACACTTTGTAGTCGGGTGGTAATTTAATTATACATTGCGTTTGCATATGCAAAAAATAGGCGCTTAAGTACGGAATATTTACATAAATAATTAACATAAATTTGCCATGAAAAAGAGCCGACAATCTTTTCAATAAAAAGCAATAAAGAAAAAATTAAATTTAAATATGGGATTTTGTTTTTCATATATGGTGCATTTCTTTGGGGATTAGGCGACTTAAATTGTTTCCCTTTCTGGAGTCCATTTATGAGGAAAATGTTTTGGGAGCAGAGTCATGTATTTGATTACATTTTCCCACTCCTCGGATGAGATTTCCTTTTTGCAGAGAGTCCTTGCTGAGTGGCATAATGAAAAGCGTTCAAGTGAAATTTACTTAAACAAATTCTAAGACACATTTCCCCAGGCAGTGAGGCAGTCGGGCAGTCAAGACAGTGGCCATAAGAAATGCAGCATTCAAATGTTGTGACTTCCCCAGTGAAGCTTAGAATTCTCGGGCTCGGATGCCGCTGCAACCAAACATTTTATTGGCATTTCACTTGCCTCGGCACTGAGTCTCTCATTTGTGTTCTTTTTTCCGCCGGCTTGTTTAAACTCTGAATAATGGAGACTCGAAGCTCGCCTGTGCAAATTCAATGATTTAAATATTTAAAAAAGCGAGAGAATAAAATGGAAGACAGCTTTTGTTTAAATGCCTTTTATGTGCAATATTGAGCCAGCAGGCAATCGAGCAATAAATCAATGCAAAAATAATGCCTGTGAATATTGGATGTTTTTGCATTGGTTTTGCCAGGCTCAAGGTTGAGTTGGTCTTGAATGAGAAATGACTCTAGAATTGGATATTTGTAATGTAGTTTATGTTAGAATTGCAATACTATGTACGTCTTTAAAAGTAGCAAAGCAACCACAGTTTCTCTTAGCCACTGGGGTGTCCCTGTAAAGCCCTACACTTTAGCCAAGTCGCGTAGACTCCGGTGGTTGGCGACCGGAAATGGCATTAGCGCCTGAGCCCGAGGCGCCCTGCCCGCCACTATGATTAAGTGCGGAAAGCGTCGCCTCCGTCTGGACTAGGACATAAATCACCTCCTGGCAAATAATTAGCATGGCCTCGGGTCCGGCGAGTAATTAAGGTAAGTCAGCTGTTGCCGCCGTCTCGGCCAGTGGAAAAAAATGCCATTCATTGTCAACGGAAATTAAAGTTTAATGGGGCGACGCGTGCCCTTTTTTGGCCGGGTTTTAGTTTTCTCTTAGAGCAGGTCCTGGCATTTTCAAGAGCGGAATGAGCTTGTCCTGCTGTTTTTGTGCTGACCAAATGTTTCTAATATTTGAAGCTATTAAACTAGAATTTCCCCCACTCGATGACACACCAACTGCAGTCAGCAGTAGTGAGGGAGAGAGAGCTGTTGGGAAAACATGGAAAATTCGGCACATAGCAAGGGGACACCGTTTTTTCACCAGTGGCGTGTGAAAAGCAATTACAGAAGTGATTCCGAAATATTTACACAAGCTGTGAAAATGTTTGGCCAACCAATTCTATGGGGGGTCTGGGGGCTCTAAACTTTTTGTCCGGGCAGCTGTGTGAAATCGAGAGTTGGAATAATTATGGGACGGATTTGAAAGGCTTTCCGTAACAGTGACTAAAAAATAGTTTCATTCACACATTCCATTGCGGGCTAAATTGAATAATAATTCCATTAATGCGTTTGTTTGTTCACTTTAATATTTATTGTTTTAGCTATCCTTTGTTACATTCTCCGAACACATTGACATTGAATTAATTAATTTTACACTTGGCGCGTGTTTGTCTGCAAAGTAGTTGTATTTGTTCACAATTAAATGCCAACACTGCACTCGGCAGTTAGCCCACAATCCATGTTGTTCCATTAACTTTTGTTTGCTTATCTCTCGGGCCAATTAAAAAACACAAAGCCCTTTATCGGGCGCAGATTACGTTCATTATGGGTCGTAAATAATTAGTTGATTAAACGGGAGAGCCATCACTGAATGCCACAACTAAGCACTGTCTAGTCGGCCAGTTTTGCTTTAACTTAAACCTATTTTAGTCCACGGGCCTTTGGTTCTTAGGAACTAATCAGTAGCGCCCCTTTCAATGTGTTTGCACAACACAGTTCGATTGCAGGCACAAATTTTTAAACGATATCTCAGGGAATTAGTCACGGTGTTATTTCGAACTTTTCACCGCACTTTGACTGACTGAATTTCCAGCCAGATCAGGATGGCGGCCAGGGCCACGTAGACCGCCACGATGATAAAGATCTGCAGGGGACTGACGGTGAAGACCTGCACCACCAGCATCACGGTGCCTAGAACGAAGACGCCCGACAGGAAGAAGATCATCAGGATGGTGGACCAGTTGCGGTACCAGGCATGCTTCTTGTCCGGCGGCGGCACGAATATGGGCCTCAGGGGGCTATACTCCTTCCGGTACTGGGTCTCATAGCCGCTGGTGAAATCGACCTCGTCGTGGGCCTTGCCCGGACCCGAGGAGCTCGCTTTTTTCCCGTCCGTGTCCATTGCGAAAGGGGTTCCGAATTCGACTGAAGAGAACTCTGCGTTTTCTCCGCACTTGCCCCACACTTTATTTTTCTTGATTACCAATCAGTTGTGGGGTCTGAGTTATTATCGCCGCGCCGAGAGGTGTTAATTGAGGCACCAACAAAGCAAACCGTCAAGAGCTGACAATCTTTCGGTGTCGTTCTGTGACTCAGATAAGATACAGATACAACAGGTACCCCGAAAGTAAGAGAAACCAAACCGACAAGCTGACAAGAAAAGCAACTCACAGCAAGAGACAGCGATGGGATCAAGGTGAAAAGCCCTGATAACGATTTTTATTATTTTATCACATCAACAAATAATTCCTGAAATTCAAGTGTCAACTAATAATATCATATTCATTTTTTAAGGCTTCTGTGGATTGCTTAAGAATGAGTTCTCTTTTGAGGAGGAGGTTTCAGACTCCAGCGCTCTCTTATTACTTATAAATCTCTTAAAATTAAAATAGGAATTAACAAATTAATAAAAATATAAAAATTAGAATACTGAAAAATAGTCAGGTAGTTAAAATAATATGTATTCCTGTTGGTTAAAAATTTTTAAAATAACACCATGATAATAATGTTCTAGTACATTTTTCTTCTGAGTGTATGTATTCCCGAATACGAATATTATTCTGAGGAAAATGTGGAGTGGAGGCTTGGAAGATTCGTGACTTTGCTGAATTCTCAGTTTACCCAAAGCCTTCAAACCGCTAAGATCAAAACGCCTTTAGAACTATGAGGTAATCCTTTGTTAACTTTCGGTCAACAGTATCTTAAATCTGACTTTACTGCAGTGACGACACGACTGTGTTACTGGAGGAGAAGAGCTACATCGTTGAAATGGATCATCCTACTCAGGAGAATGTGCAGGAGGAGCCCACGGGGGATTACGAGGAAGACCACTTCGAGGTCGTAGTTGAAGTAGAGTCCGGCCCGTATAGGTTTTTGCGAAATTGGAACAGTGTGGGAGTGTGGATGTGTGCAGTCTACAATTTCTGTGTTTTACTTCTACTGATCACTGTGTATGTTTACAAACGTAAGAATTAAAAGTTGCAATGTTCAAAAAAGTGTGTCTCGTACTCGAAATACCATTCGGGCATGAAAGTCAAATGTAATCCGCTTGCAGCGTACTGATCCCCGGGCCCTAAATGGGTTTAAACTTTGCTCCCGTTTTTGCTGCGGCCAAACAATTTAAGTTGTTGACAAAGTCATCAGCATGCAGCAGGCAGTGGCTTTGAAGAAATTGCTGCATCAGCAGAAAAAGGCAAAAAAAAAGTATAGTAGAAGCTGCGAACTTGCCACTGTTGCATTTTTAGTTTCTTTGCTGCGCAGCGACAAAACTTTTATTTGTTGCACCATCGACTCTGGATTATCAATTAAGCAAATTATTTAAAGTCCGTTTGTTTGAAGACAGTTTTTTAGGTCATAACAGTTAGTAATTCTATTAAAAGTTTGCCCTTAAGGGAAGTCCTACTGATTCAAAAAAGCAACAATCTTTTAAAGAAAAATTTGAGGTCTCAGCTTTGGCCTCTGCTATCAACGAAAATTTTCTTTCTTTATGTCAACTTTTTATATCAGCCGCTCTAATCTGTCTTAAGAAGACCGCCGTAAATCTTTAAGCCGCACGCGAGATTGTGGCCTACTTTTGTGCACCTTGGCTCTTGGCTCATTATTCAAATCTAAGACGCGGCTTAAAGTGAAAGCGATAGAAGCGCCACAGAAATAAAAAATGCAAAAAAAGTATCAAAATTCATGAGGCGATGCGCGCGAATTATAGCGACTTACTTGATGGTTTAAAGGCGCTCCTCGGCAGGACTCCCATCCCGCTTCGGCCACTTCGCCCAGGAACATGCGTTTGTTGTTGCAAACTTTTTCCATCAAAAGTTTCGGTTTTCGATACGCCTGCTGGTGGCAGCTTTAGCATCGGCTCCGGCTACAGCTCCCGCCACATAGCTCCCGCTCCAGGCCCTGCAAAGTGCCACTTCCGCTTTGCGTCAGTGCACACGGATGCCGAGCACAAAAGTGTGACTGAAGTGGCCTCGTCCGCCAGCCCCATCCACCCACAATACGCCCTTTGGCGGGCCCTGCTGCGGCCCAGGACTCAGGTGTTAATTAACTGGCGGGGCAGCCACTAAATTTTAAAACTGCAACCTGCCCAAATTAATGAGACTGACGTTTGTGCGAATTCGCGATGGGGGAATTGTGATTCTGGCCAACTTTCAAGTGGCCAGAGAGGGGAGGGCGAGTGAATGACTCCTGTTCATACTTTTAAGGATGTAACTTGCAGGATAATTGGTTATTTAAGTCACTGATTACCTTCATATTTGTCTTCATGTAAGATTAATTGGACTTTCAGTTAATTAAGCCAGTGTTTGAAATTCTCCAGCCATGGATCAGCATCCTGCATCGATCCGGTGGGCCGGGGAGGCGGACCGGACTATTGGCTGCACTGCTGAGCCCTTGTGACACTAAATCAATTGGACCAAGTGTCTGTTGTGACTGATTCAACTAATGATGACAGATCAAGCACTAAGTCACTCACACATGGCCGCCGCCGTCGGCTGAGGATGATGATGGGGATGAAGTCCTGTTCATGTCCTTGTGCGACACCGTAACTAATTTCCCTGCCGGTCACTTCATGTTGTGGGGCTGTTATGGGGCGGACATAAAGGACACTGGGCTAAGCTGCCAGGACAGCCTGTCACTGCAACAATCTGACCCCTTTAGAAGTCTCTGGTGCAATGGCTCTCGTTATTAATTAATTAGATCTAATGTTGATAGTTGTCAGTCCATGGAAATGCCATTTATTTAAATTGGTTTTTTCGCCACTAGGCTAGTAACGGGTCGTAATTGAATTCATATCCGCGACTAGGCTCATAAATTAGGCAAACTGTTTAGTAAATCATTAGAGCCCATAACTAATGCTGCGTCGAAAATGTGGCTTGCGTTTTAATTTCAATTTTAATTATCGAATTTTGGCTGATAAATAATTGCGTACATATTTGCAAGTAAACATGGAAAAATATTAATTAAGTTGCTAAATTGGCTTTGGATTTAAAAAAAAGTAAAAGCCACGGGCTGGGTGACATTAAAAAATAAAGTGTTTGCAATAGAGCACTTAATAAAAACAATTAGATATTTTTTAAAGCCTAGTATTCACTCATGACACATAAATTATAGAGAAACTAATTGCAGCCATAGGTTTTTATTTAATTGTAATTACATTTGCTCTTTGGAGCCTCCACAATCCGCTTACCCCTAATGCCCATTAAATGCAATTAACTTTCCACACTTTATTGGTTTTTGGAAAAAAAAACGTACAAAGCGCCGAAGACCACATTTAGGAGATTTTAAAAAACAGAACCTTTTTTCGCAATCAGTGGTGACAAATTGGGCATGATGTTTGAAATTAATTTAAAGCTATTTGGACAGTTAATGTTCGCTCCTCGTAGATAGTTAGTTTATTAAATTAAACAGGAATTAAACGTGCCACTGACGGGTATTTGGGTCATCGGAGCAAAAAAGCAGCGAAAGGTCTGGAATTTAATTAAATACGCGCATAAATTATGCAATATAATGGCAAATGCACTCACAGTCCCATCTGTAATCGCGTATATTAAATTGCCTTGGGTAGGACTACAGCACCCAAGGCCCCAAGCCCCCAAACACCCAACATGCACTACGCACTTTGCACCATCAAGCCTCTCGCATAATTATTTCCAAATATTAAATTCAGCCCCGAAAAGTATGCAACGAAAGTGCCAACTCGCTGGTGTTGTTCCCATTCGTCCCGGAGTCCGGACTCCCAACTCCCGACTCGGTAGTCCAAAATCCCTAGACCTTCAGCATTATTAATGCAAGCGCCCCGAGTGATGGGGTGACCCCTCCTGCCGGTCGCCACAATTGCATCCCAGTGCGTACTTTATTACACCAGAGACAAGCGGGTTAATTCCCATAAACCATTTCCCTGAAATGAGAGTTAATGGACAAGGGTTAATCGTAGAGAAACCAGTAATTTGAGATTAAATGCAACTGTATTTAGGTACCCTGAGACTACACATACTATTCTATGAACTGAGAGGCAATTATCCTAAGAACTTTAGCTGGAGAGCAAGGGGATACATTTTCTAAGAACTAGGTTTTTTTTTTAAATTTTTATTAAAGTTATCTTTACATCTTAGTTAAATAGACAATTATAATTATTTTGTGGATCTTTGCTTGATACTTTAATCCTATTTTTCCACTGTACTTGGGCGAGTCCTACTTTTGTGTAAATGTGGCATTTATAACACACGAAAATCATATAACTTTGAATGAATCAGATACATATAATTTGGGATATGTATCTGATTCACCAATTTCATATTTATTTTTCGACCATATCATGGCCAAAAGAAACGATTATCTGGCTACCAATCCAGTGCAATTGTTGCAAACTGTCAGCAGCCATGTCGACCGCACAGTTTGTTTGGCTGGCAGCCCTGGCGTGTGGGCGGACTGATGGTAATGGGCGTGTCACTGTTTCAATTTACATGCCTGTAGTTCACACGCATGTCCATAATTTGCTGCGCCCACACACACTAGTGCTATTGTTGGAGTTTCAGTGCTGTTGCCACTTTCCGCTTCTCGTTTGTTTCAAAACAGTTTGCACATTGTTGTCATTAAGGACAATCGCAGTTGTTGTATCTCCTGCTGCTGATCCGAGGGATGGGGGAAAGGCGAAAAGGGGTCATTGAAAGTAGCATAATAATACCATTGTTTACGTTGTTCCTGCCTGACATTAATATCACAGTAATTTCAATATTTAGTCAACCACTTCATAATGTGCGGCTTACTAATGATTATTAATTATTGTTAAATGTTTGCTATTATTTTGGCGCCCTGTTGTGCGGTTTTCAGTAACTTGGCTAACCACGCACACACATACACTAGGAACAGGGATAATGGATGTTTCGGCCCACCTGCCACCTGTGTCACAGACGAAATGGGTCTCCACGGCCTGCTATCGGCCACGAGGCTGTGTAATGCCTGATTTCAACATCAGACACAGAATTCCTGGTTTGTCAGACAACCCCTCGTTTTCAGGACATTATGCACTCCATTACCAGATCATCGTCGATAAGATGCGGCCTCCGCACTCCGAACTCTGCGCTCCCAAATCCCATTGCCATTGCCCACTAATTACGAGTATGGTCGACAATTAAAAGTCATTTATTATCTTGCCGCGTCCTTGGCCATAACAATGAGTTATGGCCACTAATTAAATCAGCAAATTACAAGCACGCACATTACATAAATTGTAAATTGCAAATAATTCCCTTGTGGGCAGGACTAACAGCTTCAGGTGGTCCTGTGGATTGAAAAGGAATTAAATATTTAAGGCTAGTTAGTTGCAACGCCTGATTGGGTGTAGATTTCAAAGATTCAAATAGTTGCAAATATTTATCCAATTTATCGATGAATCAATAGTGTCCTTGGAAAAGTGTCAGTCAAAAGGGACATTGTATTCCTTTTGATATTGATCCCATATGTCGTACGTTTATGTTAACTATAAGCTTATCCTGACACTTCTACAAAAGCAAACCTTGACCCTTATGCGACTAATGCTTGGCTTGACATTTTAAGGATATTTAAGCCACGCCCCTCCCCCAAGGGTCTTCCTTTTTGTTTTCATCTTCCCCGATAAGTGTCCCTTCTCCTCTTCGTACTATTTTTGGAAGGATATGCATATGTGAGGATATCCTGTATTCCCCGCCCACTTACCCGCTTGGCTGCCAAACCACTAACGACACCCCAAGGCGGACTCTGTTGCCAAGTCAGCTGTTCGCCAGCACAGCCCCCAGTTTTGGCTCCTTTTCGTCCTGCCAACACTCGACGCTCAGGACTGTCAATCACCTTTAAAGAGCAGCTACCTGTCTGCCTGCCAAAAGGATTTTTTGAGTCAGCCAGCTCCACAGGTATGTGCATTCAAGAATGTGCACTCGAAACTATTTTCATGTCGTTTTATAATAAAAGCCTTTCTATAATCATTTGAGTTTCTATACGGG